GGGATATCTAAAATGCTGTTGTTGAATCAAACAGATGCATTTTTAACGTTCATTAACATTTGTCCTCTTCTAATCACGTCAACTATTCATTATGTCATTGGAATATTTCAGCAGGTGGAAATCACAGGGACCATTGCTTTTAGTCAACTTTCTCCCTTTATTACAAGCATTTTAAAAACTGACTTTGGAGGTCATCCAAAGTAGTTCCAAGGGATGAGCAAGTTCAAACACAGTTCAGGCAAGAATCAGCACCAGGGCGTCCAGTCCAGTGAGCAGGAAGGGCACCGAGAGAGCGCAGGAAGAGGGTCATAGAAGAGGGCACAGCATATTTTAGGAAATCTGTCTGCTTCCTGCAGGGCATCTATTTACCAAGAACAGGATCCAGGGAGGGGATGCTGGAAGGCATTAGGCTCCAACCAAGAATGCTTCAGGTCTCCTGTCTTGGAAGCTGGCTACAGGAATTGGTGGGGCCATCAAAAAAACCTGTGGCTTCTGGGTCCAGGTGCACAAGGGTGCCACCCTAAAGGAAAGAAGTTGTTTCCTGTAGTGGAATTCATAATCCAATTTTGTAGTTCTCAATTGCTTCAGCCACAGTGGCTCAAGACGGGTATTTTCTGCCTCAAGTCCAGCTGAGATTCAAAATCAGCCCACTTCACTGGGGCCCTGACCACTTTCTAGCCAATTCCTTGACCTTTCTTCCCCAGGAGCAAGAGGATATTCACAGGCCTTGCCAATCAGGGCTCCCACGTGCCTGCCTTGTACTTCTGCATTCCACTCACTAACTTCAATCTCAAGAGCAACGCCAACAGAAATAAAGGTTTAATTGAATATATCTCTTTGGACATTATTAGATTTCTAACTATTTAGTTCAAAATTAATTCTATAATCCTAAAGAAGTAGCCTTTCCCTAAGTCTTGTTTATAAAATCTTTATACAGATAGGTACAAATATATAGACAACTGGGCGAAACATGCCATCTGCTGGTGAAATATATTATTAATTTTAAGGGAGTTTGTTGTTTTAATGCTTTTGAAGTTCTGCGCCATTCCTGAGTGGTCCTGTGTGCCACCTGACATAACAGTATGCCATTTAACACAATCATATTTCAAACACCCAAATGCTATCAGGCATACAGAGTGGCAGATAATAGTATTTGATCTAAAAGAGTGGGGAATGTGAAGAAAGTAAGGTGAAGATTTTTATTATATTTATTCTTCCACACAATCCAAAAGAAAAAAAGAAAAAGAAAAAGCCAGTAATCACAGTGATTGATTTACCCTAGTTTTTTTTTTCTTTTAATGCATTCTGAAGAAAAATTGAGAAATATCCCTGCTGATAATTCACATGTGCTTCTCAAATGTTGGAACACTATAGAGTTTTGAAGTGAGCAGTGTATTACTAATAATAAATAGTCAAGAGGTAATGTCAGCAAGGTGGTGAGTAGGAAGCCCTGGACCATCTCTCCCTCTGCAAACTCATCAACTCATCAAGAGTTCATGGACAAATCTCCTCTGCACAAAATCCAGAAGCTAAGTGAAAAGCTCCTACACTCGGGGATCCCTGGGTGGCGCAGCGGTTTGGCGCCTGCCTTTGGCCCAGGGCGCGATCCTGGAGATCCGGGATTGAATCCCACGTCGGGCTCCCGGTGCATGGAGCCTGCTTCTCCCTTTGCCTGTGTCTCTGCCTCTCTCTCTCTGTGTGTGTAACTATAATAAATAAATAAATAAATAAATAAATAAATAAATAAATAAATAAATAAATAAATAAATGAATAAATAAATAAATAAATAAAAGCTCCTACACTCTAGGTGACCACGAAGCCAGACTCAGCAAAGCCAGTAGGGAGATTTGGGACACCCTGTGACCCAAGTCCCTGCCTCCAGCGCAGCAGCACACAATCAGAAACTCCCTAATGCTTGGCTTCTCCCAGGAGTTAGTTTGCATGTCCAATGCCCCAACTTTCCTGAAAAGGATCCCAGAGGACAAACCTAGGTCTCAGAGCTTGGATGCATCAACCAGAGCCTAGCAACCAGGCGAGTACAGAGATGGCAGCTGGAGATGGAAGACACCATAGCTTCCCCTTCTTCCCAGTGCAGAAAGAGCTGATGAGAAAGTCCGAGTCTGGAGAGAGGCACCTGGTAGAAGCAGCAGGGCTACATGGGGCTTGGCTCTAGCAATCTACTCAGCCTCTATATCAAGGGTATGGCGGGGTGGGGACCACTTGCCCCAGGCAGATGGCCAGGTGGGGGGGGGTGGAAGGGCATGCATGGACACCTGAGAACAGGTGTAGGGAAGCAAACTGCACAGCACACACCATGTGAGTCTCAGCATCCAGCGAGGCCAGGTCCTTGTCCCACGTCTGCACTATGGAGACAAAATTGGGGGCACCAGCGAGGGTGCCTGCAGGCCACACCCTGCCCAGGTCCAGCCTGCCCTAAAACAAAGTCTTGAACATAAGACCCAAACATGTAAAACTCTCAGAAAAAAAAGAAAAGAAAAAGGAAAAGCTTCATGACATTAGTCTTGGCGGTGATTTCATAAATAGGATGCTAAAGACAGGGCAACAGAAACAAAAATAAACCAGCAGGACTAAATCAAACTAAGCAATCTAACAAGCAATCAACAGAGTGTAAAGCCAAGCCGTAGGGGCACCTGGGCAGTGCAGTCGGTGAAGCGACAGATTCTTGGTGTCAGCTCAGGTTTATGATCTCAGGTCCTACAATCATGGCCCAGGCTCTGTACTTAGTGGGGAGTTTGCTTGAGGACTCTCTCTCTCTCCCTCTCTCTCCCTCAGCCCCTTCTCAAGCTCCTGTGCTCACTCACTTGATCACTCTCTCTCTCTCTAAAATAATAAATAAATCTTTAAAAAAAATTTTAATAAAGTCAAGCTGTACAATAGGAAAAAATATTTGCCATACATCTCATGGTGAGCTAATCTCCAAATTACATAAGGAGCTTGTACAACTCAATAACAAAGAAAACCCAGTAACTCCCTTAAAAAATAGGCTAAGGACTTGAATTAATAACTCTTCTCCAAAGAAGACGGAGAAGACTCTTTGGAAGACTCTTCTCCAAACGGCCAATGGGAGTATGAGGGAATGCTTGTCATCACTTGCCATCAGGGAAATACAGATCAAAACCACAATGAGATGCCACCCCACACCTGTTAGGATGGTATATATGTATGTGTTTGTAGGTTGCAGAGAAACTGGAGCCCTTGTTCTCTGTTGGTGGGACAGCAAAGTGGTGCAGCTGCTATGGAAAACCGCATGAAGGTTCCTCAAAAAATTAAAAATAAAACTACCAAAAAATATAGAACTACCACATTATCCAGGAATCCTACTTCTAGGTATATATCCAAAATAATCAAAAACATGATCTTAATATTGACATTCACATGTTCATTGCAGCACTAATTACCATAACTAATACATGAGAATAATCTAAATGTCTATTGACAGATGGATGAAGAAAATGTGCTATATATATATAATAGAATACGATTTAGCCTTTAAAAAGAAGGAAATTCTAGGGCACCTGGGTGGCTCAGTGGTTGAGTATCTGCCCTTGGCTTGGGCCCTAACCCCAAGGATCCTGGGATCGAGTCTTGCATCAGGTTCCCCAGAGGGACGCTGCTTCTCCCTCTCCCTCTGCCTGTGTCTCTGTCTCGCTCTCTCTCTCTCTCTCTGTGTGTGTCTCTCATGAAGAAATAAAATTTAAAAAAAAGAAGGAAATTCTATAAAATGTGACAACATGGATGGACCTTGAGGAGATTATGTTAAGTGAAATAAGCCAAACACAGAAAAGAACTGCATGATCCCACTTTCACGATGTATCTAAAATAGTCATATTCATAAAATCAAAGATGGGAATAGTGGTTACCAGGGGCTGGGGAAGGGGGGAAACCATAAGTATTCATCAATAGACAAAGTCTCGGTTAAGCAAGATGAATATGCTCTAGAGATCTGCTACACGACATTGTACCTACAGTCAACAATCAAGTATTCTACCCTTAAAAATTGTTAAGAGGATAGAGCGCAGTGTTCAGGGTTCTTATCACACTAAAGGAAAAGAATACTAAATAATCAAAGTTTGCGAGTATCTTCTAATGAAGATTAGAAATTAGAGTTTAGAAATTAGGATGGAAAGTTAATCGTACAAGTACATCATTCTCCTTTTTTTAAAGATTTTATTTGTTCATTTGAGAGAGAGAACAAGCAGAGGAGCAGAAGGAGAGGGAGAAGCAGACTCCCCGCTAAGCAAGGAGCCAAACTCAGGACTCGATCCCAGGACCCCGGGATCACGATCTGAGCCGAAGGCAGGCATTCAACTGACTGAGCCACCCAGGTGCCCCACAGAACATCATTCTCGTTCATTCCAGTATGCTCTCTGGAGTGGAATGGAAAGGAGAGAGCCCCAGCCAACATGCTGGGAATTACATGTAACTCCGGCTAAAAGCTTAAGTGCATCACTGTAGCAAACACGGTCCGATTACATGCCGAGAGGGGAATGCCAAAACCAGTGAAAACTTGGGCTTATTATCAATTTCATCCCTGGAGAGATCTGCATTGTCTTAGCATCAAGAAACAAGGTACATGGCCTGCACTTGTCCTGCGGTTGGATTGCAAAATGTATATGTTGACATGACACCTTTTCAGAGTTTATTGCCAAAATACTTAGAGTCAAGTTTTCGGCCGTCTAAATATACATTAGGGCCGTGTATGCATTTTGTATGTAATTCCACTCCTGGACCCTACACCCTCTTTCCCCATATCCATGTTCCTCCCCAGTTACGTTGTTCAGTCTGGTATGCGTTTATATAAGCCACCCTAAATTCTCTCTGAAAGGCAGGATAAAAACAAACACTAAGATTTGTTTGAAGGTCACGATTTGTATTGTTATTGTGCATAACCATACGTTTTTCACCTTGAGGTGAGTGTTTAACCTGAGATAACTGGAACTGAGTTTTCCTCCAAGGAATATCTTCCTTTTTATTCCTCCCAGGAAGCTGTGCCACATGGTTCTATGTCAGTGTGAACTTACACACATTATCTTCTCAAAGTTCTAAGAAAAGAAAGGACATACTCGATAAGATACATTACAAAGCTAATTTTAAAGCAGTTATGAGTTTCCATTTTGCATACAAATCCCCCGAGATGTGGTAGGATTGCCAAGCTTAGGGGAGATGGTCTCTTTTCTTTACAGATAACACTGCCTGATTCAGCAAGTAAGCAATCAGCAAGGATTTACGGCTCAATAAGTTAATGAGCAAATTCTTTTGACGGAGTTAAAAATATTAACTGTGAGTAACTGCGGCTTTCTACCCAATCCTTTCAAGGATTTGGAATTGCTAGTCGAGCCAAAGGTGGGGAATAAAATTGGAAGGAACTGAGAAAGACAACAGGACCGAGTGTGCAGCTCATTATGGAACATGATGGAGAGACTAGAGTGGGAGGGCAGGGGGGATGATGGGAATGACGGGGGAGGGGGCTGCAGGGCCCAGGGCCCTGAGGACAGAGGTGCCCAACAAAGAGTTTTAGGAACTTCTTGGTGCTGTGTTATATTTTGTTTGAAAAAAATTCCTTTATCCAGTAGCTCTTCAAGAAACTTTAGGAAAACCCTACTTACGTTTAATAAGGATTTTGATGTTGGCATTGCATGCATTTTCTTTGAAATGTGTCGTAAAAAAGCCAAATTATGGCAAGAGCCCAAATATCCATCAACTGATGAATGGACAAATAAGTAGTATATATACACAATGGAAAATACTCGACCATAAAAAAGAATAAAATCTTGCCATTTGCAATGACATGGATGGAACTAGAGAGCATTATGCTAAGCAAAATAAGTCAAAGAATGACAAATACCAGATGACGTCACTCATTTGTGGAATTTAAGAAACAAAACAGGGACGCCTGGGTGGCTCAGCAGTTGAACGCCTGCCTTCAGCCCAGGGCATGATCCCGGTGTGCCGGGATCGAGTCCCACACCGGGCTCCCTGCAGGGAGCCTGCTTCTCCCTCTGCCTATGTCTCTGCCTCTCTCTCTCTCTCTCTCTCTTTCTCTCTCTCTCTCTCTCGTCTCTCATGAATAAAAAAAAAAAGAAAGAAACAAAACAGATGAACATAGGGGGGAAAAAAGAGAGAGAGAGGCAAACCACAAAACAGACTCAACTATAGAGAACAAACCAAGAGTTGCTGGTGGGGAGGTAGGCCAGAGGATGGGTTAGATGAGTGATGGGGATTAAGTGGGCACTTGTGATGAGCACTGGGTATTATACGTAAGTGATGAAGCCCTAAACTCTACTCCTGAAGCCATTATCACATGTATGTTAACTAACTGGAATTTAAATAAAAACCTGAAGAAAAAAAAAATATATATATATATACATATGCTCTCTACCCAATCCCTAAAAAAATAAACAAAAATAAGTGTGTTGTAAGACAAGCCTTATTTTGCATCGTTTTAGGAGGGGTTTTGGAGAACTCTATTGTGAAAGATCTTTGTGCTTTCCTGAGGAACAATTCTTCTTTATTTTTAAAATATTTTTATTGTGGTAAAATATCTATAACATAAAATTTACCACTTGAGCTATTTTCAAGGGCACAAATCAGTGGCCTTAGTTATGTTCACACTGTTTGTACCACCACAGTCTATTTCCAAACATTTTCATCACCCTAAAAGGAAACTATACCTATTAAGTTCTAGTCAACTTTGTGTCCCTTTGAAGGTACCTATCTAAGGTGTCTCTTAAAAGTGAAATCATACAACATTTGTCCTTTTCTTTCTGGCTTATTTCACTTAACATGAAGTTTTTGAGGTTCATCCATGTTGTAGCATACTATCAATAACTTCATTCCCTTTTACATCTAAATAATATTCCACTACAGGTGTATACCACTATCTGCTTATCCATCCTTCTGTTGATGGACATTTGGGTTGTTTCCACCCTGTGGCTATTGTGAATAATGCTGCTGTCGAAAATTGGTGTACAAGTGTTTGTATCCCTGTTTTCAATTTTCTTGGATATATACCTAAGAGGGGGAATTCCTGGGTCTGGTGTAATTCTATGTTTAACTTTTTGAGGAACTGCCATACTGTCACCTGCACCAGCTCCCCGATTTTATATTCCCACCATAATTCTATCCCATCAGTCTATCCTTATGCCACAACCACACTGTTTTGACTACTGTCACTTTGTAATAAGCTTTGAATTCAGGAAGCGGGAGTGCTCCAGCTTTGTTGTTTTTCAAGATTGTCGAGCTCTTTCGAATCTTTCGAAATTTCATATGAATTTTAGGATGGTCTTTCCATCTCTGTAAAAAACACTGATGGAATTTTTTAGGTCTTTCAGTGAATCTGTAGATCACTTTGGGTAGCATTATAATCTTCCCAATATGAAGTTTTCCAAGTCAGGAACATGGGGTGTCTTTCCACTTATTTATGTCTTCTTTAGTTCCTTTCAGCATTGTTTCATATCCTTCAGTATAAAAATCTTGCACTTGTACACTGACTAAATTTATCCCTAAGGCTTTAGTTACTTTTGATGCTGTGGTAAATTGAATTGCTTCTTTAATTTCCTTTTGGGATTTTTTTTTTTTTTTTTTGCTAGTACACAGAAACAAATTTTTTTTCCATTCTTTTTTTTTTTTTTTTATGATAGTCAGAGAGAGAGAGAGAGAGACAGAGAGACAGAGACACAGGCAGAGGGAGAAGCAGGCTCCATGCACCGGGAGCCCGACGTGGGACTCGATCCCGGGTCTCCAGGATCGCGCCCTGGGCCAAAGGCAGGCGCCAAACCACTGCACCACCCAGGGATCCCCATTCTTTTTTTTTTTAATTGGAGTTCAATTTGCCAACATATAGCCCTCCCGAGCATTAAGTGGTCTATTGTAAGTGTCAGTCACAATCTTTGGCCTCAGACAGCTATGGGGCTTTTGATCATCATATAATGTTTTTAATCAACGTCTAACACTTTTCTTCCCTGAGTGGTTCCCAGGTTTGGTGAAACAGAGATGAGTGCCTTGTGTCATCCTTCAGGTAACCTCCAGATAGAACAGAAAAACACAGTAATTTGTAAATAATATCTGCTGTCTTCTCTCTGGAGCCAGGAACATGGGTCACACACTGGAAACAGGCTGTGATCTTCAAGACTATCACCATGCTGGGGAAGTGGTAGGGTAAGTAAAAATGTCACAAAACTTTCATACCATTTTTAAGTTGCCTTTTTTGTTAATTCAGCACACACTTGGTTGATGTAAACTTTTGATTATTTTCCAGAGTTCTGACAGTTTCTGTCAGTTGTTTTTTCAAGGTTCCTTTGGAATGTTGGGAGCTTGGATCTGCCTATGTCACCATTTTGCTGACATTCACCATTACTCCAATGGAACCCTCTTGACTTCCCTGCTCTCAGAGTGAAACTTAACTCTCAATTAGATGCCTCCTACCTAACATGACCAGAACAGAACTCATAGTATTTCCTTCCAACCTACTTCTTCCTTCTGGGTTCCTTGTCTGGAAATCGTTGGGTCATTTCCTTAGTTACTCAAGCCAGGAAGCTTTATCTTTTCCCACTTATTTGGTAGAGTGGCAGTTAGTCCTGTGGATGTGAGGTAGCTTTCTTTCTTTTTTTTTTTTTTTAATAAATTAATTTTTATTGGTGTTCAATTTACCAACATACAGAATAACACCCAGTGCTCATCCCGTCAAGTGTCCCCCTCCGTGCCCGTCACCCATTCACCCCCACCCCCCGCCCTCCTCCCCTTCCACCACCCCTAGTTCATTTCCCAGAGTTAGAAGTCTTTATGTTCTGTGTCCCTTTCTGATATCTCCCACACATTTCTTCTCCCTTCCCTTATATTCCCCTTCACTATTATTCATATTCCCCAAATGAATGAGAACATACACTGTTTGTCCTTCTCCGATTGACTTACTTCACTCAGCATAATACCCTCCAGTTCCATCCACGTTGAAGCAAATGGTGGGTATTTGTCGTTTCTAATGGCTGAGTAATATTCCATTGTATACATAGACCACATCTTCTTTATCCATTCATCTTTCGATGGGCACCGAGGCTCCTTCCACAGTTTGGCTATTGTGGACATGGCTGCTAAAAACATTGGGGTGCAGGTGTCCCGGCGTTTCATTGCATCTGAATCTTTGGGGTAAATCCCCAGCAGCGCAATTGCTGGGTCGTAGGGCAGGTCTATTTTTAATTCTTTGAGGAACCTCCACACAGTTTTCCAGAGTGGCTGCACCAGTTCACATTCCCACCAACAGTGTAAGAGGGTTCCCTTTTCTCCACATCCTCTCCAACATTTGTTGTTTCCTGCCTTGTTAATTTTCCCCATTCTCACTGGTGTGAGGTGGGATCTCATTGTGGTTTTGATTTGTATTTCCCTGATGGCAAGTGATGCAGAGCATTTTCTCATGTGCATGTTGGCCATGTCTATGTCTTCCTCTGTGAGATTTCTCTTCATGTCTTTTGCCCATTTCATGATTGGATTGTTTGTTTCTTTGGTGTTGAGTTTAATAAGTTCTTTATAGATTTTGGAAACTAGCCCTTTATCTGATATGTTATTTGCAAATATCTTCTCCCATTCTGTAGGTTGTCTTTGAGTTTTGTTGACTGTATCCTTTGCTGTGCAAAAGCTTCTTATCTTGATGAAGTCCCAATAGTTCATTTTTGCTTTTGTTTCTTTTGCTTTCGTGGATGTATCTTGCAAGAAGTTACTGTGGCCAAGTTCAAAAAGGGTGTTGCCTGTGTTCTCCTCTAGGATTTTGATGGAGTCTTGTCTCACATTTAAATCTTTCATCCATTTTGAGTTTATCTTTGTGTATGGTGCAAGAGAGTGGTCTAGTTTCATTCTTCTGCATGTGGATGACCAATTTTCCCAGCACCATTTATTGAAGAGACTGTCTTTCTTCCAGTGGATCGTCTTTCCTCCTTTGTCGAATATTAGTTGACCATAAAGTTCAGGTGAGGTAGCTTTCTAAGAATTCTCTCATCATTCCACTTCTCACTAACTCACCATTTCTGTATTAGTTAAGGTTCCTGTAATCTTTCATTTTTATTTCAATGTCTCCAGCCTGGAGAGTTTGCAACTCATTTTCCTTCTCCATCTCCTATATGCATCTGCTCAAAGCACTCTCTGCTTACCCCTAGGAACCTAAAACACATGTTAATTCTCTATCTCCTACCTTTAGAGTTCTAGAGTTTTAGGACAAGAAACAGTCTTGCAAAAATGGTCAGCATATAGCAAGAGCTGAATAAATGATTCTTAAATGTCTGAAACAGACCAACAATACCTTAAAGTGATATGACAAAGTATAGTAGATATAGTATAGTAGTCTTAGTAGGAAACCAGCAATGTGGGCAACTCGGGTGGCTCAGCGGTTTAGCACCGCCTTCGGCCCAGGGTGTGATCCTGGAGACCCGGGATTGAGTCCCACGTCAGGCTTCCTGCATGGGGCCTGCTTCTCCCTGTGCCTGTGTCTCTGCCTCTCTTTCTCTCTCTCTCTCTCTCTCTCTCTCTCTCTCTCTCTCTCTCTCATGAATAAATAAATAAAATCTTAAAAAAAAAGAAACCAGCAATGTGTCCTTATATATAAGCATCAAGCATATATGTATATGATCATTTAGAAACTTTTAAAAGGACTTCTCTTTCTTGCTTCCTTATCCCTGATTTTGAAAATCCTATTTTTCCAGATTGATTTCATTCCTTACCTTCTCCAGCTCCTAACCATCAAACATACACCTATCAGTTCAGCACTTAATTATACACTAATTTGAAATCCCCTAGATTATTCATAATGCTCCCCATCAAAGAAAGGAAGGATACACAGATGCTAGCATAGATCTACTCCATATTGCTAACTGATGGTATAAACAGAATGTAGTTCCACTCACTTCCCTCCCCACTAGTCATGCATCACTGACATGATTAATAATGTACTGTCTCATACTGATTATAATTACATCTTGCCTCTTTAAGTTTTGTCTTCCCCTTTGATTTGCACTTTTCTGAAGGTAAAAACCACCATTCGGCCATTTTTGTATTCATCAAGAACCTACAGTTCAAGCAGACACAAAATACATATTTTCCCAACATAAATATGTAGATTGGTTTTGCACTCATGCTTTGGTCTATAATTGAGTGAGACTTATGAAATGAGCTGCACTATGCCCAAATTTATCTTTATTTTATGCACCTAATATTTTGGCACAATGTTCTTATACCTGGAGAAATATAGCCTAAGTGAGAATATTAAGGGAACAAGGTACTCTTCTCTCTTCTGGGAACCTGGTTGGATGTAGAGTGGTTTCCCCATTTAATATTGCTTTCTCATTATGCTCTGGATACTGATTCTCAGTTTGGTTCATCCAAGTGGGGACAACACTCCACATGTGAAGAGGCTCTATTCCAGTCAGCCATATACCATACAGGTGCACATTTGTGAGCCTGCTCTTTGAAATAAGGAAGGAAGGTAGGTTTGATGGGAAAAGTCATCTAGCTTATGCTCTGTCTCCCACATTGCCCAGGACAGAAAAGTTTCCAAACTTTCTATCAACAGTTAAGTAAACTCAATCCATATACATATTATGTAGCTTCAAGGCTGGTATGGAACAGCACAGAGTGTCTGGCAGGAAATAGTTTGATTCACAGATATAGATATGGGGAAAGTTCTGGCCTTTCTGGGACAGTCTTGTCCTGGGCTCAGGCTTAGCCACAGTAATAAGCAAAGAAAAGAAAACAACAATTAAACAGGTACTATACTTTAGTTTCCCTCATGATTCTCAGGAATGAAGTCTTCAAACATTCTACTAATGGTCTCCATTGCTTCATAGATAGTAGATGATCCGTGGACAGCATTTTTCAAAGTACTTCTTCCAAAATGGGCTCGGATAGAGTCTGGGGACAGTAGTTTTGCCTCATCTGGGTCTGTGGGACCCATCAATCGTCTCCAGTCCGAAACAGCATTCCACTTAGTCAGAACCATGACCAAAGATGGACCCCTGCAAATAATAATAATTTCAGAAGATTTGGGCTATTTACACCAATAGAGATTACATATCCAGCTAAAGACAGAATGCCATGCTTTGTCTTTATTCTTTGTCCTTATCAATGTGATTTTGTGCTTTCATTTTGTTTTTCCACTTCTCCCCCTTCCATCAGGTTGTTGTGCTAGAAGAGTGCTGTAGTTTAATTCTAAAGATATATGCCAATCACTATTCCAAGTATTTTCAACGTATCAGTTATGTTACCCTCACAACAAACCAAGAGATAGATACTATTATTATCTCCACTTTACAGATAAGGCTACTGAGGCACATATTAAATATGCTGACAGAGCAGGGATCTAAAAGCAGAGATTTGAAACCAGATCATCTCTATATCAATGTGAAGACCTAAAGATATGAAGGGAGGAAGAAAGGAAGGAAGGAGAGGAAGAGAGAAGATAGGGAAGGAAGGAAATAGAAAAGAAATTAACCCCAAATATTAATTGGATGTCTTTCAATGAATGAAGTTAGATGGAATGTTTCAATTACATTTTGTTTTTTTCAGTTTCTATAGTGAATATTTCCTACTTTTATAATGTAGAGAACTATATATCAGAAACTTACTCAGACAACACTTGCAATACATCCTCATAAAAGTCTCTTCCTTTTATTTTTGAATAAATTTTTTCTGCTTCTTCTTCATTTAGGACTACTTCCTTCATCTGTGTTATTTCAAATCCAGTCTCTCTAATAAGTTTCAAGATCTCCTCTAGGGAAAACAGATATGGTAATCTTGTAGCAGGTCTTCACTCTTGTTTCAGATTCAAGTAGATTGAAATAACTAAGGGAAATAATCATTTTACTTGCGTACTGTGGCTTGAAAAGCTAGAACTGGGCAGCCCGGGTGGCTCAGCAGTTTAGTGCCCAGGGTGTGATCCTGGAAACCCAAGATCAAATCCCACGTCAGGCTCCCCGCATGGAGCCTGCTTCTCCCTCTGCCTGTGTCTCTGCCTCTCTCTCTCTGTCTCTCACGAATAAATAAAATCTTAAAAAAAAAAAGCTAAAACTATGCTAAGTGAAATTGAAATGAAAAGCACCAGATTGACATTCAGAACAATGTTAAGATGTGAATGCAGATGTTCAGTCTCTGAGACACAACTTTCTAGAGCCCACCGGAAACATCTCATAAACCATAAGGAAGGTGGCAGGGGTGTGCTTCTGGGCTAAAAGTGAAGGCATGTTTTCATCTCCATGCTGCAAATGTCAAGAAGTCCTTGCTAGATATGGACTGAAGGGGAGAGCCAATCTGGACGCTTCTCCCTTAAGTAGCAAGGCAATATTTGAGGGGATTAAATAAAGTTCATCTTGTAAAAGCTCACCAACAGCCTACACTTTAAAGGCTATATTCAGTGAACCAAATGAGGGATTAGGAGCTTTCTGGTAAAACAGTCTTTTCTTTGGTCCAGATCAATAGTGCTTAGAAGTGTTGTGCTGCCATCCTAGTCCCAAAAGGTGAAGCATAAGCATAACCCATAGAAAGCCTGAAGAAGGCTGGACTTCTCTTCCTATAAAGGGGGCAGCCCAGGCTCTGTCCTACAAGAGGTGCTGTGAGAACAAATGTGCATGGAACATTAAATGCTTCTTCCAGATCTTGTCTGCTCAGGGGGCCTGGCCTAGAAACATAGCTTGAAAAGGTGGTCATTATTATAAAGAGCAATGTAAAAGGTTCCCAGAACCACAGGCAAGTAAACTATTAACTCTCTGGGAAGTTTAGAGATGACTTCCAGAAAAAGGCCAACCTCTGCGTTTGGTACAGAAAAAATAAGATATGATCACCAAGCAGAAAAGTAGAGAAAGACCATTGCAGGCACAGTCAAAATTTCTAAGAACAACAATAATAATATTAATGAAAACACTATGCATTAAAATCTATGGGGTAATCAGAAGAAATTAAAGCAGGAATTGAGGAAAATACACTTCAAAATTTATATTGACAAAAATAAAAGAATGAAATAAATGAATTAAATGTCCAATTTAAAAAGCTGAAAGAACATTTTAAAAACCTACTAGAGGGGCAGCCTCAGTGGTTGAGCATCTGTCTTTGGCTCAGGTCGTGATCTCAGGGTCCTGGGATCAAATCTCGCATCAGGCTCCCCATGGGGAGCCTGCTTCTCCCTCTGCCTATGTCTCTGCCTCTCTCTCTCTCTGTGTGTCTCTCATGAATAAATAAATAAAATCTTTTTTAAAAATTAAATAAATAAATAAACTACTAGAGAATTGAAGGCAAAATTTTTAAAAATACAGAAAGTAATGAGTGTGAAAACAAAATAAAACATAAATAAAACATGTTTTTTTGAAAAACAACAAATGAAGAAATGTCAGGGTGGAAATAACCATTGAAAATGAGTAAATTAAACATGATAATAAGAGACCATGAACTCTATGTAGACGAAATGTATAACATCCTAAGAATACACAACTTAGCAAGATTAACTCTAATTTACTATAGTGGAGGTAAAAAGTTTAAATAGATCAATTTTCATAGAAGAAGCAGAGAAAGTAGTCAAAGAATTGTCCTACCAAAAGATAAAAATAGAAAAGCAACAGGCCCAGATGTTTTCACAGGAAAGCTCTACCAAATCTTCAAATACCAATCCCACTTCTGCTTAAACTCCTCTGAGCACCACAAATGAAGACATGTGCATTCTTTATGAAGTATTACATTGTTATCTAAACCTTGTACCAAAAATGAAAAGGACAGACCAATTTCATTATCTTAATTTTTTAAAAATCCCAAATAAAATACAATCAAATAGAATCCAAAAGCACATTTAAAAAAATACCTCATGACTAAGTGAAGTTTATACAAAAACGGGAGAATTGCTGAATATTAAACATATCATTAGCATGATCTTTCCTATTAATATATCTATGGAAATATTTCTTTTGATTTTTTGAATTTTTAGTGTCAAGAGTTTTATAAAATGTGAAGTGAGTCATTATTTTATTTATGTCTTTATTACTACGGACAAATATTTCATTTATGTGAAAATCCAGAATGCAGTGGAAGAAATTTTGTAACACTGAGAACTTTCAGAGTAAATATTCATTTTTCATTTACTGGTGCATTATATCCATTCAAATATATAACACAAACATGTTTTAATCAACATTAGATCTTTATTTTGTACAGCTGGATATCATTGAAATAAAGATATGAAACACTTTTGACTGAGTTCTTTTTAAATAAATAAATAAATAAATAAATAAATAAATAAATAAATAAATTATCTATGGAGAAAAACATTGTCACCTCCATCAACTCTGAAAAGAACTTCAACAAAACTCAGTTTAATTTTGATTATAAGAGAGACAGAGAGAAGGAAGAAGGGAAGGAGGGTGAGAGAACAATAATGACAGAAGTTCATTGTTAAATCTATATTGAGCCACGTGGGCGTTCATTGCCTTATTCTTCTAACTTTTCCATAGTTTAAAAATTTTCACAAAACCTGAAGGAAATGTACACAACAATTTTTATTTCTAAATATTTACCTCTTTGTTCATGTGTTATGTGAGGCTTAATCAGTGCTAAAGTATCTTGAGAAGGAAAGAAATACTGTATTTCCTTTTCAGCTTCCTCTAATGAGTCACTTCCATACAACTGGTTGACAGGCAAATCTTCCATTGCAAAACGCACGCATAAACTTTGAAAAAGAAGTCAAGAGCTGTTAGAGCATAACGTACTGTAGTATAAACTACTGCAACAGAACACTATATAAATTGTCCAAAAGTCATCAAGCAACTCATTCTTGATCGAGCCATTATGCAAAAGGCAGTAACTATAGAGCAGCTTGGAGCACACTACTTCCTTACTAGGAGGGAATGGTCGTTGGGAAGAAAGAACCATGAAATAATCATGATGTGACCACTGACAGATAACTCTGAAAGAAGGAAAGGTGCCTTGGTGCAGGCAACAAGCAGCCTGTAGAACCCTGTTCACACTGCTTGCTAGCTATGTGTCACCGGGCAATTACTTCATTTCTCTATGCTTTTAATCATCTCAAATATCAATAAGATAATGAAACTGCTCTGGAAGGAGATTTTGAGAATCAGATGATATATTTGAAATATATGGTGCATATTAAGCTCTCAATAAATATTCCTTTCCCGCCCTTCATCACTAAATGTTATTAAGCACTAGAGATGGTATTGGACTCTATGCCAAAGCCTCCAAATTACACTGAATCCAGGAGGCACTGCTATGGAATCCTCCAGCAGAGCAAGTGCTATGATAAAAGAGGAATATGCAGGATGGCTTCATGTAAAGAAGCAGGAATGAGGTTGATGGTACTAGACATGTTCAGTTAGGCAGGCTTCTTTTTAGAAATTTTATTTATTTATTTATTTATTTATTTATTTATTTATTTATTTATTTGGAGTGTGTGTGTATTCGTGTGTGTGTGTGTGTGTGTGTGTGTGTGAGAGAGAGAGAGAGAGAGTAGGGGGAGGGACAGAGGGAAAGGGAGAGATAATCCCAAGCACACTCCATGTTGAATGCAGAGCCCCACACAAGGCTCAAAACCAGGACCCTGAGATCATGACCTGAGCCAAACACACAAGAGTTGGACACTCAACTGGCTGCACCACCCAGTGCCCCTAGGTCAGGCAGTTTATCCTGGTTCTGCTTCCTCTGCAATAGATGAATGCATATACCTAAATCAATTGCTGTTCCTTGATGTTTTTCTTTTTTCAGTTGCCCTTTTTCCTGTCTCGTTATCTACATATATTTCAGTAGAGGATACTCTCTGCTCATTTCATTTTCTACCTTTTACACATAGTCCTGAACTGCCAACCCACAAAATTCAGTCATAGTGAATAACATCCTTTCCTATTAATAAACTGACTTCACTTGGCTTCTGTCCTTACACCGTCTTCTTACCTCTTTGCTTTTGGTGATGCATTCAGATTTCCTTTTTTTGCCTTATCCAATTTGACCTTCCCACTTGACCTTTGGCAGTTCTCACATCCCTGATTTGAAGTCCCTTGGAACCCAATACCCTTGGAGCCTGTGATTACCAGGGGTGGAGGATTTGCACAATTAATGATGAAAAGAGCCTATGGTATCACCAAGCAGCCCCTCTGTGGCGCTACTGGACATAATTATTGGGGAAAGTATGTGTGTGAGGGGAAGGATGGGATAGAGGGAGTAGGTGATGAATGAGGGGTTGCTGTGCTTCTCCCTTCTGCAAGGTGACCATATTTCGGATTAAGCAATGCAGTGCAGAATCTGATACCCGAGTGCAGGGAAGGGCAGAGCTCTGCTGAGTTATTTCAAAAGCAACCCTAAAGAACTGAGTAGAGCCAAGGAAACTAGAAAGGGAGGAACCAATAAAAAAAATAACAGTCAAGACTAGCTGTGAACTTGTACTAACATAGGGATCATAAAGGCTCTGGTTGGAATCCTCACTGTAATAGTGAGGTAGAGAGGGGCAGTCACTGAGTGCCTTCACCTGGAGAAAATGTGTCTGTACTGCTATCTTCACGTTTGAAACCATAATTCTAGAACAGTATGGCTATAAGCATAGGCCTTGTGTCAACAGGAATCTCCATCTCTCAGATGGCATGCCTTGCATTCTATGCTACACTTCATTAAGAGGTTCCATGGCATGCGGCTCATACTACTCACAGACTGTCCAACCTCTCTTATCCTTTATAATAATTGTAGGGCTAAGTAAAGGGTAAAATATGTCCATGCAGAACAAGTCAGATTCCAGATTATTCTACCCCAAAGAAAACATTTCAGTGTTTCTATGTGATACTTCATTAGTACTGCTATTTATTATACCCACATGTATGTCAAGCTTGCTGTATCCAATAGAGCATCTCTGTTCTTGCCCATTTGAAGGGAGGGCTTTTCTTCTGCTGAATCAATTCCTACCAAGGCCAAGAGATGGCCTTGTGGCTGGGCACCCACCAGTAACTTCCCAGCCCCACACCAAGCATCCCACAACCTTCTTCTGCAAAGCCTTGGCCTTACTCAGCTGCCACTGGGCTGGACCTCTGGTCATAATTAGGAAAAGTAGTTTTCCTAAGAGCCTCCCTTAGACTAGAGCTGTGGTTCCTGTATCTGCATCCAAAAAGAAATTAAAGAAGATGTGGTTTATGTATACGATAGAATATTACTCAGCCAATAGAAATGACAAATACCCACATTTGGTTCAACATGGATGGAACTGGAGGGTATTATGCTGAGTGAAGTAAGTCAATCGGAGAAGGACAAACATTATATGTTCTCATTCATTTGGGGAATGTAAATAATAGTGAAAGGGAATAGAAGGGAAGGGAGAAGAAATGTGTGGGAAATAGAAAGGGAGACAGAACATGAAGACTCCTAACTCTGGGAAACGAACTAGGGGTGGTGGAAGGGGAGGAGGGCGGGGGGTGGGGGTGACTGGTTGGCGGGCACTGAGGGGGGCACTTGACGGGATGAGCCCTGGGTGTTATTCTGTATGTTGGCAAATTGAACACCAGTAAAAAAATAAATTTATTATTAAAAAAAAGAAATTAAAATGTCTCCTGTGAAAAGTTTGGGACCTGTCATATCAATCCTACCTCTCTGGCAGATGTTCCTTGGCTTTTTCAACACTACTTGGCCCAATTAAGTTTTTCCAGTGTTGTAAACCACAGTCTCTTAATAAGACAAGGGCTAGAGATGGACCACTGTTAGAACAAAAAAAAAAAAAGTTATGACTCAGTAGCTAAATCCATATATATAATACAAGTAGATCATCCTTTTATCAAGATGAGGGATGCCTGGGCGGCTCAGCAGTTGAACATCTGCCTTCCGCCCAGGGTGTGATCCTGGAGACCCGGGATCAAGTCCCACATCACTCTCCCTGCATAGAGCCCGCTCCTCCCTCTGCCTCTGTCTCTGCCTCTTTCTCTCTGTGTCTCTCATGAATAAATAGATAAAATCTTAAAAAAAAAGAAGAGTCTAAGGTGAATTTCCACTGGTGTTCTCTCAAGAGTACACCGAACATCTTACAAAAGGATGATCCCAGATTCCAGCTAACTTATATACCGTTGGTGTCACGGCTATTTCACTTATTCTTCTAGAAATAACTTCTTTTTTTTTTTAATATATATATATATTTTTTTTAATTTTTATTTATTTATGATAGTCACAGAGAGAGAGAGAGAGAGAGAGAGGCAGAGACCAGGCAGAGGGAGAAGCAGGCTCCATGCACCGGGAGCCTGACGTGGGATTCGATCCTGGGTCTCCAGGATCGCGCCCTGGGCCAAAGGCAGGCGCTAAACCGCTGCGCCACCCAGGGATCCCTAGAAATAACTTCTGACAGAGTTCTAGTATCTCATTCTTTTCCTAGGACTAGTGATCTTCAGGATTACCAAAACCCCTGAGAGTCAGTATGTTCTCTGCTTGGATTTAATGCTATACACCTTTGATTTCTGGCATTAGACTTGATGGACTCCAGTAACTTCACCGGGGCCTTGCTATTGCTCCAGTAACATTCCAGGAGGATGAGAGAAGAAGGGCAGTTGAGCAGAGAATTGAGATAGGAATGAGATTGGCGAAGAAGTAGATTTAGCATATGTTTACAGAACTGAGAGGTGCAGCAACACGACCAGGGCAGGGTCAAAAGAAGATTTAAATGATTCAAGACTAAATCAGACTGTGCCTTCTAAGCCTAAAATCAACTTTACCTGGTCATTTGTTCTATAACATTTTCAAAATAATCCTCATTTTCATATTCCCTGCACAGTGTTTGTGCTTCTTCTTCTGATAATACAATTTGTCTTTGCATCAGTATTTTAAAGCCTTCATCTTCAATAATCTTCAAAACATGCTCTAAATAAAAAGTCACATAAAAAGTGTTAAATCAATAGGTTATTGGCTATACATACCATAGAGAATGTTTTATTATGAAGGCATATAATAGCACTTCATCCTCATTTGAAATTTAGACGTTTGCAAAAATAGCTTACTAGATTTTAAGGTGAGTAATATTCTTAACATACAAATTATGATTTATAATTCTCTTTCCAATTTTCCATTACACAAGAATCATATACATGCAAGGTGTATAAAACTGGAAAACACTACAACTGAAATAAAATATTCACTGGATGGGCTGAATGTCAACAAGGAAATCACAGAATTCCGTTTTACAGCTAACACAATTGAAATGATCCAATTGAACTACATACAGAATATAAATTTAAAAGTGGCCAAAGGGCAGCCCAGGTGGCTCAGCGGTTTAGCGCTGCCTTCAGCCCAGGGCCTGATCCTGGAGACCAGGGATCGAGTCCCACGTCGGGCTCCGTGCATGGAGCCTGCTTCTCCCTCTGCCTGTGTCTCTGCCTCTCTGTGTGTGTGTCTCTCATGAATAAATAAATAAAATCTAAATAAATAAATAAATAAAATAAAAGTGGCCAAAGCCTTGGGAATCTGGGGAACTATGTCAAAATATCTAACACTTATATTTTTGGAGTCCCAGACAGAGTGGAGAAAGAGTTGGCACAGAAGGAATAAAGAAATAATGGTGAGAAATTCCTCAAATTTGGTGAAGGATATTAATTTATGGATTCAAGAAGTTCAAGGAACCGCAAACTCAAAGATAAGCTTAAAGAAAAGTATACTCGGGGTGCCTGGGTAGCACAGTTGGTTGAGCATCTTGTTTTCCAGCTCAGGTGGTGATCTCCATCCTGGGATAAAGCCCTGCATCAGGCTCCACGCACAAGGTAGAGTCTGCTTGAGATTCTCTCTCTCTCTCAGCCTCTGCCCCTCCCACTCACTCTCTGTCTCTCTCTCTCTCTCTCTCTCTCTGTCTCTCTCTCTCCAATAAATACAATAAATCTTAAAAAAAAATAAGGATACTGAGGCACCTGGGTGGCTCAGTCAGATAAGCATCTCCCTTTGGTTCAGGACATGATCCTAGGGTCCTGGGATGGAGCCCCACACTGGGCTCCCTGCTCATCAAGGTGTCTGCTTCTCTCTCTCCCTCTGCCCCTCCCTCTGCTCGTGTTCTCTATCTCTCTCTCTCAAAAAAAATCTAAAAAAAAAAGATATTCATAGAAACAAAATTGCACAAAACCAAAGGTAAGAAAAAAACCTTGAAAGCAACCTCCTCAAATAAATAAACAAATAGGAAGGTACATGACATACAAGGGGAAAAAGGCTTTAAATGACTCTGGATTTTTAATGAGACACTAATAAATCCAGAAGGCAGTGGCACAACATTTTTAGAGCATTAAAGGAAAAAAGTGGCAAACCAGAATTCTCTATCAGTACAATATCCTTCACGAATGAAAATAAAGACATCATTTTTTTCTTAAAGATTTTATTTATTTATTCATGAGAGACACACAGAGAGAGGCAGAGACACAGGCAGAGGGAGAAGCAGGCTCCCTGCGGGGAGCCCGATGTGGGACTTGATCCTGGGACCCCGGGATCATGCCCTGGGCTGAAGACAGGCGCTCAACCGCTGAGCCACCCAGGAGCCCCTAAAGACATTATTTGATGAAAGGAAAATAACTGAGTTTGTTGCCAGCAGATCTGCTCTTTAAAAAAGTACAAAAGGGGACACCTCTTAAGTTTTTAAAAAATTCATCACTGTTGAAAAGCAAAAAATTACAGTATGGTTTGGTGGAGCACTTGATACATGCATCTGTATTAGACATAGTGACTACAATAGGTAGGGAAAAGGGGAAAGGATGTGTGGGGCTATAAGGTGAAGTGGTAAAATAGTAACCTGAAAGAGTTTTAAGTTAGGCATATAGGGCAGCCCCAGTGGCTCAGCAGTTTAGCGCCACCTTCACCCCAGGGCATGATCCTGGAGTCCTGGGATCGAGTCCCCATCAGGCTCCCCTGCATGGAGCCTGCTTCTCCCTCTGTCTGTGTCTCCACCTCTCTCTGTGTGTCCATCATGAATAAATGAATAAAATCTTAAAAAAAAAAACCCAAAAAGTTAGGCACATATATTTTAACCCATAGCACCACTAAAATAAATGGACAAAATACATATAATCAAGAAGTCAACAGAGGGGCACCTGGATGGCTTGGTGGTTGAGTGTCTGCCTTCAGCCCAGGTGGTAATCCTGGGGTCCTGGGATTGATTCCCACATCAGGCTCCCTGCAGGGAGCCTGCTTCTCCCTCTGCCTATGTTCTCTGCCTCTCTCTGTGTCTCTCACAAATAAATAAATAAAACCTTAAAAAAATTCCTTAGAAGAAAACTTCAGGCCCAGGTAGTTTCACTGGTAAATTCTAATAAATATTTCAGAAAGATGCAATATGAATTTTACACTACCTCTTCAGGGAAATAAGAGTGACTACTTCTCATCTCATTTTATAAGGCCTATATGGCCCTGACACACACCAAAACCAGAGAAAGACATTACAATGAAAAGAATACAACAAATATTTCTGATGACTATAGACACAAAAGGCAACAAAATATTAAAAAATCAAACCCAGGAGCAGTAGGATTGTCTGGTGGACAGTGGCAGCAACGATGGGTAATTCAGTGTCTAAGGGGTCCAAAGACTCTCTGCCCATGTCTCATCGCCTCTGGGCTGTTTAAACTCACTGTGCCCAGCATAGATTAGGGCCTTTCTCCTCTACAGAATGACCTTATGAGAGCAATTAGCTGGCATCCTTAGAGAAAGATGAGTTTGTAGCAAAAATATTTTTCACCATAAAACTACTATAAAGAGTAAGAGAAGGAGGGGCAAGATGGCGGAAGAGTAGGGTCCCCAAATCGCCTGTCCCCACCAAATTACCTAGATAACCTTCAAACCATCCTGAAAATCTACGAATTCGGCCTGAGATTTAAAGAGAGACCAGCTGGAACGCTACAGTGAGAAGAGTCCGCGCTTCTATCAAGGTAGGAAGTCGGGGAAAGAGAAATAAAGGAACAAAAGGCCTCCGAGGGGGAGGGGACCCCGCGAGGAGCCGGGCTGAGGCCGGGGCGAGTGTCCCCAGGACAGGAGAGCCCCGTCCCGGAGGAGCAGGAGCTGCACCAACCTTCCCGGGCGGGCGGAAAGGGGCTCGCAGGGAGTTGGAGCAGGACCCAGGAGAGCGGGGATGCCCTCGGGCTCCCGGGGACACTAACAGACACCTGCGCCCGGGAGAGTGCGCCGAGCTCCCTAAGGGCTGCAGCGCGCACGGCGGGACCCGGAGCAGCTCGGAGGGGCTCGGGAGCGGCTCCAGGGAGGGGGCTGCGGGGCGGGAGCGCGAATCCAACAGCGCAGGCCCCGGAGCACAGGGCGCCGGGACACAGCCCAGGATCCGGCCTCCCCCGGGACAGGCAGAGGCCGGGAGGGCCCAGGACAGCAAGGACGCTCCTGCCCGGAGCTGAGCAGATCAGCGGCCCCGCCCCGGAGCCTCCAGGCCCTGCAGATGGAGAACCGAGAGCCCCAAGCCCCGTAGTTCCTGCGGAGGCTGAATCCAGGCTTCCAGAGTTGCCATAGCAACTGCGACTGTTCCTCCTGGGGCCCCACGGGGTAAACAACCCCCGCTGAGCCCTGCAGCAGGCAGGGGCAGAGCAGCTCCCCCAAGTGCTAACACCTGAAAATCAGCGCAACAGGCCCCTCCCCCAGAAGACCAGCTGGACGGACCAGTTCCAGGGGAAGTCAAGGGACTTAAAGTCTACAGAAATACTCCCCCGTGGTTTTTTTTTTTTTCTTTTTTCTTTTCTTTTTGATTTCTGATTGCTTCCCCCACCCCTTTTTTTTCACCTTTCTTTCTTTTTCTTTACCTTTTTCTTCTCTTCTTTCCTTTTACTTTTCTTTTTCTTTTTTCTTTTTCTCTTTTCTTTCCTTCTCTCTCTTTCTCTCCTTTTCCCAATACAACTTGTTTTTGGCCACTCTGCACTGAGCAAAATGACTAGAAGGAAAACCTCACCTCAAAAGAAAGAATCAGAAACAGCCCTCTCTCCCACAGAGCTACAAAATCTGGATTACAATTCAATGTCAGAAAGCCAATTCAGAAGCACTATTATACAGCTACTGGTGGCTCTAGAAAAAAGCATTAAGGACTCACGAGACTTCATGACTGCAGAATTTAGATCCAATCAGGCAGAAATTAAAAATCAACTGAATGAGATGCAATCCAAACTAGAAGTCCTAACGACGAGGGTTAACGAGGTGGAAGAACGAGTGAGTGACATAGAAGACAAGTTAATGGCAAAGAGGGAAACTGAGGAAAAAAGAGATAAACAATTAAAGAACCATGAAGACAGATTAAGGGAAATAAATGACACTCTAAGGAAGAAAAACCTACGTTTAATTGGGGTTCCCGAGGGCGCCGAAAGGGACAGAGGGCCAGAATATGTATTTGAACAAATCCTAGCTGAAAACTTTCCCAATCTGGGAAGGGAAACAGGCATTCAGATCCAGGAAATAGAGAGATCCCCCCCTAAAATCAATAAAAACCGTTCAACACCTCGACATCTAATAGTGAAGCTTGCAAATTCCAAAGATAAAGAGAAGATCCTTAAAGCAGCAAGAGACAAGAAGTCCCTGACTTTCATGGGGAGGAATATTAGGGTAACAGCAGACCTCTCCACAGAGACGTGGCAGGCCAGAAAGGGCTGGCAGGATATATTCAGGGTCCTAAATGAGAAGAACATGCAACCAAGAATACTTTATCCAGCAAGGCTCTCATTCAAAATGGAAGGAGAGATAAAGAGCTTCCAAGACAGGCAGGAACTGAAAGAATATGTGACCTCCAAACCAGCTCTGCAAGAAATTTTAAGGGGGACTCTTAAAACTCCCCTTTAAGAAGAAGTTCAGTGGAACAATCCACAAAAACAAGGACTAAATAGATATCATGATGACACTAAACTCATATCTGTCAATAGTAACTCTGAACGTGAACGGGCTTAATGACCCCATCAAAAGGCGCAGGGTTTCAGACTGGATAAAAAAGCAGGACCCATCTATTTGCTGTCTACAAGAGACTCATTTTAGACAGAAGGACACCTACAACCTGAAAATAAAAGGTTGGAGAACCATTTACCATTCAAATGGTTCTCAAAAGAAAGCAGGGGTAGCCATCCTTATATCAGATAAACTAAAATTCACTCCGAAGACAGTAGTGAGAGACGAAGAGGGACACTATATAATACTTAAAGGATCTATCCAACAAGAGGACTTAACAATCCTCAATATATATGCCCCGAATGTGGGAGCTGCCAAATACTTAAACGAATTATTAACCAAAGTAAAGAAATACTTAGATAATAATACACTTATACTTGGTGACTTCAATCTAGCTCTCTCTACCCTTGATAGGTCTTCTAAACACAACATCTCCAAAGAAACGAGAGCTTTAAATGATACACTGGACCAGATAGATTTCACAGATATCTACAGAACTTTACATCCAAACTCAACTGAATACACATTCTTCTCAAGTGCACATGGAACTTTTTCCAGAATAGACCACATACTGGGTCACAAATCGGGTCTGAACCGATACCAAAAGATTGGGATCGTCCCCTGCATATTCTCAGACCATAACGCCTTGAAATTAGAACTCAATCACAAGAAGAAGTTTGGAAGGACCTCAAACACGTGGAGGTTAAGGACCATCCTGCTAAAAGATAAAAGGGTCAACCAGGAAATTAAGGAAGAATTAAAAAGATTCATGGAAACTAATGAGAATGAAGATACAACTGTTCAAAATCTTTGGGATGCAGCAAAAGCAGTCCTGAGGGGGAAATACATCGCAATACAAGCATCCATTCAAAAACTGGAAAGAACTCAAATACAAAAGCTAACCTTACACATAAAGGAGCTAGAGAAGAAGCAGCAAATCGACCCGACGCCCAGCAGAAGAAGAGAGTTAATTAAAATTCGAGCAGAACTCAATGAAATTGAGACCAGAAGAACTGTGGAACAGATCAATAGAACCAGGAGTTGGTTCTTTGAAAGAATTAATAAGATAGATAAACCATTAGCCAACCTTATTAAAAAGAAGAGAGAGAAGACTCAAATTAATAAAATCATGAATGAGAAAGGAGAGATCACTACCAACACCAAGGAAATACAAACGATTTTAAAAACATATTATGAACAGCTCTACGCCAATAAATTAGGCAATCTAGAAGAAATGGACGCATTCCTGGAAAGCCACAAACTACCAAAACTGGAGCAGGAAGAAATAGAAAACCTGAACAGGCCAATAACCAGGGAGGAAATTGAAGAAGTCATCAAAAACCTCCCAAGACACAAGAGTCCAGGGCCAGATGGCTTCCCAGGGGAATTCTATCAAACGTTTAAAGAAGAAATCATACCTATTCTACTAAAGCTGTTTGGAAAGATAGAAAGAGATGGAGTACTTCCAAATTCATTCTATGAGGCCAGCATCACCTTAATTCCAAAACCAGACAAAGACCCCACCAAAAAGGAGAATTACAGACCAATATCCCTGATGAACATGGATGCAAAAATTCTCAACAAGATACTAGCCAATAGGATCCAACAACACATTAAGAAAATTATTCACCATGACCAAGTAGGATTTATCCCCGGGATGCAAGGCTGGTTCAACACTCGTAAAACAATCAATGTGATTCATCATATCAGCAAGAGAAAAACCAAGAACCATATGATCCTCTCATTAGATGCAGAGAAAGCATTTGACAAAATACAGCATCCATTCCTGATCAAAACTCTTCAGAGTGTAGGGATAGAGGGAACTTTCCTCGATATCTTAAAAGCCATCTACGAAAAGCCCACAGCAAATATCATTCTCAATGGGGAAGCACTGGGAGCCTTTCCCCTAAGATCAGGAACCAGACAGGGATGTCCACTCTCACCACTGCTATTCAACATAGTATTGGAAGTCCTAGCCTCAGCAATCAGACAACAAAAAGACATTAAAGGCATTCAAATTGGCAAAGAAGAAGTCAAACTCTCCCTCTTCGCCGATGACATGATACTCTACATAGAAAACCCAAAAGCCTCCACCCCAAGATTGCTAGAACTCATACAGCAATTTGGTAGCATGGCAGGATACAAAATCAATGCCCAGAAATCAATGGCATTCCTATACACTAACAATGAGACTGAAGAAAGAGAAATTAAGGAGTCAATCCCATTTACAATTGCACCCAAAAGCATAAGATACCTAGGAATAAACCTAACCAAAGAGGTAAAGGATCTATACCCTAAAAACTATAGAACACTTCTGAAAGAAATTGAGGAAGACACAAAGAGATGGAAAAATATTCCATGCTCATGGATTGGCAGAATTAATATTGTGAAAATGTCAATGCTACCCAGGGCAATTTACACGTTCAATGCAATCCCTATCAAAATACCATGGACTTTTTTCAGAGACTTAGAACAAATTATTTTAAGATTTGTGTGGAATCAGAAAAGACCCCGAATAGCCAGGGGAATTTTAGAAAAGAAAACCATAGCTGGGGGCATCACAATGCCAGATTTCAGGTTGTACTACAAAGCTGTGGTCATCAAGACAGTGTGGTACTGGCACAAAAACAGACACATAGACCAATGGAACAGAATAGAGAATCCAGAAATGGACCCTGAACTTTATGGTCAACTAATATTCGACAAAGGAGGAAAGACGATCCACTGGAAGAAAGACAGTCTCTTCAATAAATGGTGCTGGGAAAATTGGTCATCCACATGCAGAAGAATGAAACTAGACCACCTGACGGGATGAGCACTGGGTGTTATTCTGTATGTTGGTAAATTGAACACCAATAAAAATTAATGTATAAAAAAAAAATCAAACCCAGCTATATGTAAATATACAACCAAATGTAGCTTATCTGAAGGATGGTCCAATACTCAAAAATCAAAGAAATTGCCATATTATCAAACTCAAGCCTATAAAACATAATTGTATCAGTAGATACAGAAAAAAAAAGATGAGAAAATACAATATCTATTCATGACTTTTAAAAAACTTAAAAAACACCTCCCCAAACTAGAAATAGGTGGACATTTTTAAAAGTAGGTAAAGGTTGGGATGCCTGGGTGGCTCAGCGGTTGAGAGTTTGTCTTTGGCTCAGGTCGTGATCCCAGGTCTGGGGATCCAGTCCCCTACTGGGCTCCCTGCAAGGAGTCTGCTTCTCCCTCTGCCTGTGTCTCTGCCTCTCTGTGTCTCTCATGAATAAACAAAATCTTTTTAAAAATAAAAATTAAAAAAAAATAAAAGTAGATAAAGGTCTATAGAGCTAATATTGTACTTACCAGTAAAAGACTGAATGCTTTTGCTGTGAGGTCAAGGACAAAGTAACCATGTCACCTCTCCTAATCAGCATCATACAGGAAGTTCTAACTAGTTCAGTAAGGCAAGCAGAAGAAATAAAATCCATACCAATTTGAAAGAAAGAGGTAAAACTGTCTCAATTTGCAGATGATATTATTATCTTATCACTAGCTCTCATCCTGACATTTTGTCCTGCAAGTGTGCATCAGACAACGTCTGGAGATATTTTTGGTGTCACACTGAGGGTGGGGAGGATGCTACTGGCATAGTGGGTAGAGGCCAAGGATGTTATGAACATTTTGCAATGCGCATGATACTGCCTCTTTTTTGAGGGGGAGGGGGCACAAGGGAAACGGAGAGAAAGAATTATAAGCACACAGCCCATCACGGAGCTCGATCTCAAAACCCTGAGATCATGCTCTAAGTCGAAATCAAGAGTCAGTTGCTTAACTTACTGCGCCACCCAGGCACCCCAGATACAGCCTCTTTCAACACAGAATTACCTAGTCCCAAATGCAAGTAGGTCTGAAGTTGAGAAACTCTGGTCTGCATAAAAATCCCAAGGAAACTACACCAAACATTCTAGAACAAAGTGTGTTCAGCATGTCAAAGAATATAAAGTCAATATACAAATATTGATTGCATTTCCATATACTAACTATAAAAAAGAATCAATAATACAAATTTAAGGTCTGTATTCTTGTTCCGTCACCGTCTGCCATGTGAATATGGGAAAAGGTTAAGAAAAACTAGCACCCTCTAGGTGCCAGGCACTTTATTTATGTTTTTTCTCATTTTTTTTTTAAGTAAGCTCTATTTCCTAACATAGGGCTCAAACTCACCACCCCAAGATCAAGAGTCACACACTCCACCACTGACTGAGCCAGCCAGGCGCCCTTCATTTTAATCTTCTGAATTCTACACACGAAGAAATAGGTGTTTTTTTCCTCTAATGTTAAATTTAAAATAACATATTTTAATGTAATTATTGTAGAGTTTATTTATATTTATTCCTTACCTCTCTTTTCTTGAAAGAGCCTCGGTCGAAGTAATGCCAGGGTCTTCTCTAATTTGAGGTTTTTCATATTTTTAAAATCAGGAAATAAGATATCAATGAAATGATTAACATCAGTTAGATTCTCCTCAATATCACAAAACTGAGATACATGTTGTCTTTCCAGATATTCCTGTAAACTGTAGAAATCCAATATATAATTTAAGATCATCATACACTGGAACTTAATAATCATGTCCGAAAATTGAAAGTGGTAACAAGTTCACAAATATTTTGTGGTTCAATAAAACAAATAACAACTGAATGTCATGTAAAGAAAAGTTGTATCTTTCTATCAAATCAGAGTTATATTTTAATTCAACTTTTTGTTGAACCAATCCAAAGATCAACTACGTGAAAGCATGTGTGTTTGACTTCATGAGAGGATAATGAAGATCAACATAAAATATGGCTAAAAATGTTTTCTTAATAAAATGTTTAATTAAAAAAATAAATAATAAAATGTTTTAATTAATTAATTAATTATTTTTTAAAAGTGTCTTTCCAAAAAAAAAAACAAGTGTTTTTCTTGGGATGCCTGGGTGACTCAGTCAGCTAAGCGTCTGACTCTTGATTCCTGCTCAGGTTATGATCCCAGAGTTCGGAGAGCGAGCCCCATGTCAGGCTCCTGGCTGGGCGTGGAGCCTGCTTAAGATTCTCTCTCCTTCTCCCTTTGTCCCTTCCCCTACCTCCCTCTCTCTCTTAAAAAAAAAAAAAAAATTCCTTTTTTTTTTTTTTTTAATGTAAAGTTTTCCTGGTAGTTTCTACTTTTCCTTTTAAGGTTGTTTTTGAGTCAAGGGTTATGTAAGAGTACATGATATATTCTCAAATACATAAGATAGTTTGGTTACCTCTTTATTGCTTATTTCCAATTTTATTAGATCATAATCATCAAATGCACATGATGACATCTTAATTTTTAAAAATGCATTAAGGTTTTCTCTGCAAAATAATGTATTGTGGGATTTAAGGCTATGTATATCTATACTGTATATATGATTATAACAGGGCACTTTTAGACTACTGTACCTTCTTCATAAATGTTGCTTTCAACATCATGTCCTCCTTTATTAAATTTAGCACTTTTAAAAGATTTATTTAGTCTGCCTTTGGCTCAGGGTCATGATCCCGGGGTCCTGGGATCGAGTCCCACATCGGGCTCCATGCAGGGAGCCTGCTTCTCCCTCTGCCTGTGTCTCTGCCTCTCTCCCTGTGTCTCTCATGAATAAATAAATAAAACCTTTAAAAAAAATTTAGGACAGTTTACACTGATGTAAAACTATTGTCTCATAAATAGTTCATATTCAAATTTTACCAATCCTACAATACTGTCCCATTAATATTAAATTCTTAAATCCTGGACCATACATTGCCTGTAACTGTCCTATCTCTCTGGTCTCCTTTAATCTCTAACAATGCCTCAGCCTCTTCATCTTTCATGATACTGACATTTTAAAGAGTCCAAGTTAGCTGTTTTGTAGACTCTTCTCCATTTAGGATTTTTTTTAAGATTTTATTTATTTATTCATGATAGATCAGAGAGAGAGACAGAGACACAGGCAGAGGGAGAAGCAGGCTCCATGCAGGGAGCCCCATGCAGGACTCGATCCCGGGACCCCAGGATCACGCCCTGGGCCGAAGGCAAGCACTAAACCACTGAGCCACCCAGGGATCCCCCACTTAAGATGGTTTCAAACTATTGGGTGGATCAGTAGTTTCCTATTACTTATAGGATTTGGATCTTTGGCAGGAATATTATATAAGTGATGCTGTGTCCTTCATACACCACAATATGATGTACACGATGTAAGTTTTTCCCATTGTCGTTGGTATTAATGTGGTTAATGTGGTATCTTCCTGGGGCACCCGGGTGGCTCAGTGGTTGAGTGTCTCTGCCTTTGGCTCAGGGCGTGATCCCAGGGTCCTGGGATGGAGTCCTGCATGGGTCTCCCCACAGGGAGCCTGCTTCTCCCTCTGCCTGTGTCTCTGCCTCTCTCTGTGTGTCTCTTATGAGTAAATAGATAAAATCTTTAAAAACTAAGAGTAAAAAAATAATAAAGTGGTATCTTCTTGTATTCTCCACTGAAGACTGACAATTTCCACTGTGTAAATAATAATAAATCTGTGAGGACACTGTTTATTTTTCCATGCAATGGTTGTAGTACCCATTGATGATTCTTGTCTGCATCGATTATTACTATAATGGTTTTTAATGTAGCTTTTTTTTTAACCTTAACCTTGTAATCTCTGTATTTAATGAGATAATCTTTTCATATTTAGTATAATAGCCATAAACTTAACTACCTTCCTTCCATCTTACTTTACATATACTATTTACTCTAAATTGTACTTTCTTGGGTGCCTGAGGGGCTCAGTCTGTTAAGTGTCTGCCTTCAGCTCAGGTCATGATCCCAGGGCCCTGGGATTGAGCCTCACATCTGGCTCCCTGCTCAGCGGGGAGCCTGCTTCTCCCTCTGTGCCTCCCTCCTGCTCATGATTTCTCTCTCTCTCTTTCATGCTTTCTTTCTCTCAAATAAACAAATCTTTAAAAAATAATAAATTACAGTTTCTTCTTTTTTTCTTTCCCTTATTTGGCTGGTCTGAGCCAGTTGCTATCCGTTCCGAGTTTTTCCCTTGTGAATATAGAGGTTCCCTCTTACTTATCCACTACACTGATGTTCACCCTTTTACCTGCTTCCGTAAGCAAACATATATGTTCCAAATTTTTCATACGTTGCGACACACTATTTCTCTAACATCCATCCCCACTTCTGTAAACTTGAAAAAGAACCTGAAAAATACTGTGTTCCTTCTTCATGTCAGCTTCCCTCTCTCCTCTCTGAGGAGAACATTTTCTCCCTTATATCAAAGTGCTCTTTCCATTTTTTGTTTAAGTCTTCCCTCAAACATTTCTCAAGTGATATATCCCAAAGCATGCCCTGAGCATCTCCCTTTGCTTCTCCAGGTAAAGGATATCCTGGCTCCATGAAGATCGGGGGGTGGGGTGCTGTTTCTCTCAGTGGTCTGATGACAAGTCCCATGCCGCTCAGAGATTTTTCCCTTTTAACGAACTTGGTCTCCAGTTGCTGCCAAATATGCAGTTGGTGGAAGGGGACCACCTAAAGTGCAAGTCACTGAGGGAAGCACCGTCTCTAACAAATTTTAAACCAATTTTAAGCTAAAGGTTGGGCTGTTTTTCTTAGCATCACCATGCACCAGCGATTCTAAACGATGTTCGTGGTAAATCACTCCTCCTTGAAAAAAAATCTTTTGTCTACATTCTAAATAATTGCTGTGGTGAGTGTTAAATTTTAACAATATATGTGTAGGCTTCAGGTTCGCTTATTTTTATTACTTATCTTTAATAAACAGTGTACTCTAGCTGGTACTCTGCATGTAAGAATCAATTCTAAAATAACAAAGATATTGGAGAGAACGCAATTTCTGGAATTTTCTGTGAAACAGGAATTTTATGTATCTCCACTTAACATACAGTAAAGATCCTTTTTTTTTTCATGTTACAAAAACAACAAGCTTTAAGATTTATTTTTGTAATTTTTTTTTTACAGAGAAAAACGACACACCCCTTGGGGGGAAGGTGAGGGATTAAGACAGGCCCTGGGTAAAAATGATCAAGACAGGGCAGCCCCAGTGGTGCAGCGGTTTAGTGCCACCTGCAGCCTGGGGTGTGATCCTGGAGAACCGGGATTGAGTTCCACATCGGGCTCCCTGCACGGGGCCTGCTTCTCCCTCTGCCTGTGTCTCTGCCTCTCTCTCGCTCTCTCTGAATGAATAAATAAATAAATCTTTTTTTAAAAAATGATCATGACAGCACCTGGAGTTGCTAGGCCTGCCTAGGAGAGACACGGGCACTTCCACATGGACAGTAACCATCTGAGGCTCAGCAGACCAGTTCACATGCCACGCAAAGATCCAAGTCATAAAAATCTTCCAGCTCATCATGAAATAGGTCCCACAGGTCTTCAAAGTCTGTCAGGTTGTCGTCCCCACCTGTAGCCAAAAGCATAAGCAACATCTCGACCAGCTCAAAGGTGACAACCTCCTCTCCTTCATTGTCAGAGGGGTTGCTGTTCTCTTTCCTCAGTGAGCTCCCAGAAGTGGTTCCTTCGTTGGGCGCGGTGCCTGCTTGATGTTCCCACTTAGTCTCTGCAGCTCCTCTCTACGGCCATCAGGGTACACATGCTTGTAAAACTAGTTGCCTCCAAACGGGCAGCTCCCACGATTTCATCAAAATACCTACACGCCTTGATGCTCATTGCCTCCTTGTATCTCTGAATGAGTTTCTGCTTCTCTTCTTTCTCCTCCACCCAGTACTCACTTGGAATGACACAGTTAGATGGGATCCGGCATTGGGGGCAGGACTTTATGATCTCGCTCTCCAATTGCTTAGCACTCCTCCACTTGTGAATACACTTGAGACAGTAAGTGGGGTTGCAGTTGGAGACAATCCCAAAGCGACACTCACTGGGGTTGGCTTTCTCATAGACCACCTCCATGCAGATCCCATACACCACGTCCTTGCTGTGCTGGACAGCAAATGAGAGCTCTACATCCTTCCCGTGGGCCTCAATGCAAAATCTTCTATGTTGTGATCTCTGGGCAGCATCCATCAGATGGAGGACCCGCAGCCCACACCGGTCACATGAGTCTCCGTGGAGATACACACGGTTCTCCCTGTACGGGCACTCTCCCCCTGCAGCAGAGGGCCAAAGCTGCTTCTTTGTTCCTGTTGCTGTCTGCTCTTTCTCTGATACTTCCTTGGTCACTGAGCCCTGTGGGGGTGCTCCTGTCCAGGAAGGGGCAGGATGGCCACAGTAAGGCTGCCGGGCACAGGCTCAATGGCATTCACCCAGTCTTCTGAGCCTGCGCCGACAATTGCAAAGTTTGAATTTCTGGACTTGGCTTCGCCCGTATTCATTTCAACAACTGGTCCAGCTCCCGATGAGAGACTTGAGGAAGGAGCAAGGGATGATTTTGCAGTTAGATCCGCAGCAGGCACGTCTTCCTGTTTCAGTGGCTTGCCGTGTTCATCTCTGCTGCGGTCTCGTAAATACAGCATCCTCGCTGAAAACGCCTGCACGCTACCCCATAAGGACAGTCAGAGAGGTCACGCGAATAGCGACAGTTATCTCCTTCCTACAAACCCCAGGCATGAAATACCTTAGCTCGTAGCTTTTCTTCTTGCTTTTGGTATGAAGTGATGGACTCAGAGTGGATGGCCAAGAAAGAATTCTTGAGATGGCTTCAGTTCAAAAAAAGGTGGTTTTATCAGAACAAAGGGCCTGTGTTCCTGGGCTGAAAGGGCTGCCAGTAAAGACCAATTTTCAGGATGTCATTGACAAATCTTCAAATCTTAAGGCTTACAAACAAAATTTGCTCTTTATTCCTGTGGTAGACTAATATATACATATTAGCATATACTAATACATACTATATGAATATATACTAATACATGCTATATGAACATGGAATATATTCATATATTTATGGAGTTTTTTCCTTTCTAAGAAAACACATTAATATAATTGAGCAGTATTAACCTGTTGCTTCTTTTTTTGGTATTACAATACTCTATTTTTTTTGCTTATGTGTTCATATAGACACAAAATTTCCTAAAGGATAATTTTCACTATTTATGTTTTTTTATTTATTTATTTTATGTTTTTTTCTGGCCATTATTATTTGTCTTGCTCAATAATTAGTACTAAACATAATATTATCATATAGAGGAGAGGGGTGCTAAGAAAATTATCTACTTGGGGTTTCAAACATACTAAGCACATCACTGTCTGTTCTTTCCTTTTTCAATGGCATATGGTGTTGTTGTTGTTGTTTTTTCCCCCAGGATATTCTGTATCTGTATTTTTCTGCATTGGTCGAGGCTGGGCCACTAAGCCCTTTCAAACTAGATGTGTGGAGTTTCTTCATTTCAGGGAATCTTGTTCTCTATTCTTTGTTGAAGTCTAGCTTGTTCTTCTGAATGGATGTATGTAATTTCTTCTCTGTATGTAATTTCTCGTACTAGCACGATGGTTTCCTCAGTATATTCTCGACATCGCTTAAAGTCTTGCTTTCATAACGTCTGTCTCATTTTATTTCTGTACTTTGAGCTATTTCTTTCATCTGATTTGCCAAGTTATTAATTCGAGTCTCAAATGACTATCACACTCTCCAATTCTCCTCTGAATTTACAGTTCAGATCACAATTTATTTTATAGTTCAAATTTGAAAATCTCTTTTTATGTAGCACTTGAATCTCAAGCATTATTATTATTAGTACTACTACTACTATTACTATTTTATTTAAAGATTTTTCTAGTCCTAGCAGTTCTTTTTCACTAGATTTATGTTTTGATTTTTGTGTAGATCTTCCTTTCTCTGACCTCCTTTCTCTGAGGCTCCCTTAGTTGTTAAGTCATTTTTCTTGGTTGATCTACTGGGGCTTGCATCTGGGTTTTAGAACGTTAGGTGCTAGAAACTCTAGAACTGGAAGGCAAAAATGGCCTCTAGGCTACAAGGAAGCAGGCTGTCATTCCCCTGTGGGAACAAATGATAAGAGCCTTTATAGATCTGGTCCTCAAAGGCAGGCAATTTTGGTAATCCTGCTCAACTCCATGTTGGGCTTTTGTGGGGGTCAGGAAGGCCTAGGGAAGTCCAGTATGAACCTGGCCCTGGGGAGTCACAAGTCTATGTTTGTTCTTCCCAAGACCAACGGCTGTCCCCAGGTTCCTGTCTCCTGTGACCGCGCTCAGGCACTCCCCAAGGTGTCGGTGGAGAAAGCACCACACCACCTTCCCCTTCTCTTTAGTTCTGGACCACCAGAACTCCAGGTCTCACCTATGTCCAGATGCTTATTAGCACAGGTTCCCCTTGATTCTAGAGAGGCAGAAAAGGTCTGGAGATGAGAGTAGACAGTAAAGGTATAGAATTCAGACTGCTCTGATCCCAGAAATCTTTGTAAGGATTATTTTAGGAATTGTACCTATCATCTTCAATTTAAATGAGAGTTTTACAAAAGAAAAACTTACTCTCTATAGCTATGACACGTGTAGAGATAAAGAGGTCACCAAGAATAGAAGAGACACTTTGTATGGACAGAAAAATACACGAGATTATAGGAGGTAGGAACTAACATCTTCACTTAGTCATAAAGATTTGGGACAGAAAAGGACTTTAGAGATCAATTCATTTCCTGCCATCTTTGTATCCCGAGGGCTTGGCACATAGTAGAACTTTAATAAATACTAGATAAATGGAAGGATACATAACAGAGTGAATGAATGAGTGAGTAACTAATTAGTTACTGCCAGTAACTAATTCTATGACTCTGGATAACGTAGCTAATAGAACCACACCTTCCTCTTCTATAGAATGACTGGAAAGCAAAGGTAAACGACTCTGACCTTTGAGTTCTTAACACACAGGCTGATTAAGGAGATAGACACTGCAAACAGATAACATGGTATGGGCTGAGCAGGGAGCCTGTCTCCCTCTCCCTCTGCCCTTCCCCCCACTTGTGATCTCTATCTCTCTCTCAAATAAGTAAAATCTTTTTTTAAATGGGTACTCTTAGATTTTGAGGTATTTGGATATTACACTTCATTGCCTACTATACAACATATAATTGTAAGTTTTCTGGTTTCGAGCTACCTGTCATGCTTCTTTTTCACTGGAGTCCTGATTTCCTCATGGTGATCCTCATCTGCTTCTTTAGCTTCCATCTCAGGATCGGGTTCAGTTTCCTTCAGGTCAGGCTGCTCTTCATCTCCTTGAGATATAACTAGAATATGGCTTACTCCACTTGTCATAAAAAGGACAAAATCTTCAAAGTCAGGCTACAAAATAAGATGATAAACTGCTTACTTCTGAAATGGATAGACGAAAAAGACAGCCACTCCCCAACTCAAGCAACGTCACTCCCTTCCCAGTCACTAGGCAAGGGAGTGTTATCTCTGTAAGCCCCCTCTTTTTTTTTTTAAGATTGTATTTTATTTATTCATGAGAGGCAAAGAGAGAGGCAAAGACACAGGCAGAGGGAGAAGCAGGCTCCATGCAGGAAGCCCGATGTGGGATTCGATCCCAGGACCGAATCACACCCTGAGCCGAAGCAGACGCTCAACTGCTGAGCCCCCCAGGTGTCCCATGTAAGCCCCCTCTTAACAAACACATCTTTGAAGGATGGAAGTTCACAAATAACAGGGGTTGATCTTAAAGATGGTCTAATTACCATTCTCAAGCTTCAGGATGCTTCCAAATCATCAGATGGGCTTGCTAAAACACGATTTGGAGGGCAGCCCGGGTGGCTCAGTGGTTTAGTGTCGCCTTCAGCCCAGGGCATGATTCTGGAGACCTGGGATCGAGTCCCACATCGGGCTCCCTGCATGGAGCCTGCTTCTCCCTCTGTCTGTGTCTCTGCCTCTCTCTCTCTCTCTCTCTTTCTGTGTGTGTGCATGTGTCTCTCATGAATAAATAAATAAGATCTTGGAAAAAAAAAAAAACACAATTTGGAAAGCCCAATCTGAGTTCATAACTCAGTCAGTTGAGGACGGTCTTTGGAATCGGATTGTCTCAAAAGTTCCCACGTGATGCTGAGGCAGCTGGTCCAACCTTTCCCTGGGGCCAGGAAAGGTGGTTTAGAATGTCACAGCCAGGTGACAAAGTGCTATTCACTAGAACTTTCTCTGATTACAAACACGTTCTTCTGTGCTCTCCAATACGTGTAGCCACATGCAGCTACTGAGCACTTGAAATGTGGCCAGTGCAACCTGAGACTCTGAATTTCTTAATTGATTCGATTTTCATGAATTTAAATTCAAATGGCCACATGTGGCTGATGGCCACTAGGCTGAACAGCACATTTCCAGAAGTGATGTCCTCTAACCCCCAAGCCACTGCACTTTCCAATACACAGCACTGCCTTTCTTAAACTCCCCTGGGGCAAAAGAGAAAATAGCCTGAGACTTAGGCCTTTAGGTAGTGAAAGGATTAAAGCTTCCCTGTGAGGTTTATGACAAGGAGCCTTCAACCTGGGATAAAAATCTCTAGGAAAGGCCTGGATGCTCATTTCAAACAGGTCTTCACTCCAACAAAGTATAATCGGACCATCTGCTGTTGCTCAGCTGCCACTGTTTTGACCAAAGACTTCTCCGTCATTGGCTTCCGTGGCCTTACCATAATATGGACACCAACGGGGACAATGGGATGTCATTTGGATGGTCAGACTTATTCAGTTGCTTTACTAAAATGAGAGGTCAAAACTTAGAGGAATCCACGGTATCTGAAAACACAGTGGCTTTTTTTGTTTGTTTGCTTTTGACTTTCTTACCTCCTCCGCTTTGCGACTATAGAACTCCCTTGCTTGTTGTTCTGTGAGCACTCTCTTGTCCTCAATTTCCAAGACGTACCCTGCCTCGATAATCTTCATGTAGAGAGTAAGGTGAGATCCAGATGCACCACGGGACAACATGTAAAACAAGTCAAGGACATTTGTTCCTTGCGTCTAAAAAACCACCTGGATTTGAACGCATTTCAGCTGAAGACCTCAAAAAAGGATCCATAGGGCAGTAGGTTTGAAGAGGCTCAAAAATACATAAACAGAGAAGGTCCTTTGCATGCCTCCTGGTATGTAAGTTTGCAAGGCTTGAACCAGAGACTCCACAGAATTTCTGTTATTTAAATGACTTACCCCAAAATGTGGGGCAAGTCATTTAAATAATAACTAAATTAATAATTTAAACTAAATAATTACCTAAATTCCAAGGGAAGAATCGTGCTTTCTTGAATCATTCGTAAAAACATAAATCGATAAGCACTTTTAACCATCTACTTCAAAATTGGTTTGACATTTTTTAAAAAGCTTTTCAATCAATCAATTGAATTTAAATTAAAAATTAATTACATTTAAGTGTAAAAATTAAATTTAAAAAATAAAAAATAGGGACACCTGAGTGGCTCGGTGGTCAGGTGTCTGCCTTCGGCTCAGAGAGCGATCCTGGGGTCCTGGGATTGAGTCCCACATCGGGCTCCCTGCATGGAACCTGCTTCTCCCTCTGTCTGTGTCTCTGCCTCTCTCTGTGTCTCTCATGAATAAATAAATAAAATCTTAAAAAAAAATAAAATGAAATAAAATAAAAAATAGAAGTCTTTCCTTTGTTAAGGCTATAACTCATAATCTAGTATATTTTACACTTTATAGGAAAATCAAAAACAAAACTATCCAAATTACGGGGAAGTATAGAATTTGGGATTTTGCCAAGCTTTGTCTTAAAAAAAAACTTTAATGACAAATCCAGTTTGCATGTCACTCAAGTATAGTAAAATGTAAGAGTTTTGAAGCAAATATGACAAGTCTAATGAGGTACTAAACGATGAAATAGAAGTATAATCTGGGTTCAAAGCAACCCAGTAATTACATTGTTTGGTGGGAGTATCTAGCACCAGGTACCTTCTGCTTCTATTATGAAAGTAAACACCTTACTGGTTCCCTTGGTATTTTGACATGGAAAAGCACTACTTAAATCTCTCTGAACCCTCACCTAACCGATAGTCCAATTTAAATAATTTCTAAATACTCAGATCATGTCTTTGTTACCTTGCTTAGGGCCTGACAGCAGAAAGTAAAATCCAAGCAATATTTAAACTTGGTAACTTTTCCATTACTATAATTGAAAAATGCAGTGTGTCCTTTTTTTGTCCATTCAAAACATTCTCTAGCTTTTTTGTCCTGTTTTTTTTTTTATGTAGCCCTTTACCATATTCCAGAGAGATGAAGTATTTAGGAATATTCATAATTTACATCTCTGACATGTTATTTACTATATCAAAACAAAACCAAAAAAAATGGTGATGAACTCATAATTCAAAGTAATGCCACAACTAAAAGAACTAAAAAAAAACATATAATTTTGAAAATGTTTAATGTCCTAGCCATTTAAACCTACTCTAATAAGGAACAGTAAAACCATGTAAATATGTGATATTACTTTTTTAAACTTTCTGAAGTATAAGTAATTTATGTACGGAGGATGGGGGTACAGTTTGATGCCCCGCCCTTTCATACACTTCAAAATCTGGAAGAAAAATGCTATCTTTAGAGAGCAATATTATTAAATCAATGAACAAATGAAAGAGACCATACAACCCAAGATCACGGATCTTTGACTCTCGTAGTACAATCAGTGATAATGCTGCGGTAGCTAAAGAGGGCATGATGGGAAGTTCATCAAGAGAAGGCCAACCCCTTGAGGTAGTTCCTCCTCAATGACCTCCTCTATTCCCCAAACAAAATTCTTCCAAATTTCAATTTACTGTTGCTGTGTTATCACAGTCATTGTTATGGAGTTAGCAAAGTACAGCCTGCAGTCAACATCAGGCCCACCACTTGTGTTTGGAAATAAAGCTTTACTGGGGCACGGCCACATCCATTTGTTTACCTACTACCAATGGGTGTTTCTCAAAGTGATGGCAGAGGTAAGCAGTGGTGTTAGAGACCATCTGCCCCACAAACATGAAAATAGTAACTCTCTGGGCTTTATATGAAAAGTGCGCTGACCTATGAATTAGAACTCAGTTTTCCTCTTAAAAAAAAAAAAAACTTATTTTGGGGCAGTCTGGGTGGCTCAGTGGTTTACTGCCGCCTTCAGCTCAGGGCATGATCCTGGAGACCCAGGATTGAGTCCCGCATCAGGTTCCCAGCATGGAGCTTGCTTCTCCCTCTGCCTCTGTGTGTCTCTCATGAATAAATAAATAGAATCTTTAAAAAAAAAAAGTAAAAATTAAAAAACTTATTTTAGCTCTAAGGCAAAACAATAAATGCTTCCTTATTCTATCTTGCATCTAAGAAAGTCCATACATTTATGACAACATCAAGAAAATAAAACAAGCCAATGTGAGCTTATAACAAGTCTATGTTGATAAAAACTAAACAGGAAGAACATTTGTTATCATCCAATATAAGAACTGCATTTTTATCACTATTTATATTGGATGCTGGTAGAGCAGAGTTCTTTAAATAAAGATGCTTGAGGGACGCCTGGGTGGTTCAACGGTTAAGCGTCTGCCTTTGGCCCAGGATGTGATCCTGGGGTCCTGGGATCAAGTGATCAAGTCCTGCATCGGGCTCCCTGCATGGAGCCTGCTTCTCCTCCCTCTTCCTGTGTCTCTGCCTCTCTGTGTCTCTCATGAATAAATGCATAAAATCTTATAAAATAAAATAAAATAAAATAAAATAAAATAAAATAAAATAAAATAAAATAAAATAAAATAAAATAAAATATGCTTGAGGGATGCCTGAGTGCCTCAGTGGTTGAGCATCTGCCTTTGGCTTAGATGTGATCCCAGAGTCCCAAGATCAAGTCCCACATCGGGCTCCCTGCATGAGCTTGCTTCTCCCTCTACCTGTGTCTGCCTCTCTCTCTCTCTCTGTGTTTCTCATGAATAAATAAATAAAATCTTTAAAAAAAAAAAAAGATGCTTGAGTAGATCTAACCTTTGTTAAGACAAAACATTCAAAGCCTTCGGAGGTACCTAGCACCAGAAATTTGTTATGTTCTATTTCACTCTAAATGATAAGCTTGTCTCCAAATTGACAGTTTAGAAGTTGTTACGTTGCAATCAGTTTAAAGCATTTTTGGGAAATATCACTTACTTTTCCTTTAATCTCTAGAGATTTTCTAGTCATCACAGCATCAGGTTTGATAATAACAATAATGTATAGTTGTTCTAGGAAAAAATAGGAGAATTTCATTTTCCTGGTACAAAGTCTAGATAATGAAGGATTTGCCAATTATAAATGTAAATTATTAATGTTTAGTGAATTTTTGTCCATTGAAAGCTTTGTTCTTATTATGACGTGCCAACTACCAAGGAGTTTCTACTTAGAATCAAAGTGCAGTTCCTGTATGTGCATGCAGGAGAAATATTCACAAGAATTGGTGGTTCACAGGCAAAAATAAATAAATAAATAAAAATGAAAAACCTGTTAGGTGCGCACTAGTTATTTTAATACAATTCACATGCATTAAAATCACACCCTTGATCAGTATCACTGATCAGTGGAGTTTCGATGCAAGCAAACATTACAGACTGATGAATTTTATCATCTAGAGATTTATCCACATTTATCCACACATTCTCATGATGAGCTTTTAGTGCACAATAGCTCACTGAGCACACTGTTGGTCTCTGCTCCCTCCAAAGCGTGAATGCACACTCACACACCTGTACAGACAATCCAGGAGGGAAACTGTTAACTGTAAAGTAAACTGGCCCATGGGTCATGGAAGAAGAAATTACTTTCACAAGGTTCTGGAAGATGATGAAGGATAAAATAAGAGGAGGCTGCTGTCTAGGGAGTCATAAGGGAGCCTCTGGGCCCGAGTAACCTCTAAGGGTTGTGCCCACAGAGACCAAAGGAAAGGCAAAGGGAGCAAAAAAGTTTTCTTGCTAACAGCTAAGTCTAATATTATCCTACTAAGCCCTTACAAGTAACGTTGAGGTCACCACTACCTTTTTGCTCTTACATGTAGTGCTATAATTAACATCCATGTACACAAATTCCTTGCCATTACTCTGAAGGAAATTTACTCACCAGCACTTTCATATTGTGCTTCCCCAGCATCTTCCACATCTGAGTCTACAAACACAATTTCACGATACTGTGTAAGAGGAATGCAAATCAAAGTTATGTCTTAATATGACAGGAAAGGTTTTTAGAAATGTTTCTAATAAATACTTACAATCCAAAGGATAGAGGGTAAAGTGGGAATCTGCCTACATTTATCTAATACTCCTTTTTCCTGTCTTCCGACTGAAATAAAAAGAGGAATCTTTAGAATGATTGAGGTGGGAAGACTATCAGAAATAATACATATGGGAAATGGTTAAAAACCAAAAACCTTAAAACTTAAGAAGGGTACAAGGAATAAAATAAGAAAGAAGCAGAAATTAATAAGTAAGAAAGCAATAAATTAGGGACACCTCAGTGGCTCAGTGAGTTGAGCATCCAACTCTTGGTTTGGGCTCAGGTCATGATCTCAGGGTCAACAGCATAGAGACCTGCATCAGGCTCCATGCTCAGCGAGAGTCTGCTTGAGATTTTCTCTCTCCCTCTCCTTTGCTCTTCCCCTCCTTGCTCTCTCTCGCTCGCTCTCAAATAAATAGAAAGAAAGAAAGAAAGAAAGAAAGAAAGAAAGAAAGAAAAAGTGAGCAACAGATACATAATTATGTTAAAGATCAAAGGACATTTGATGAGTTTCAAGATCTTAGTAAACTAAAAACAGAAAAATACCTTCTTAACTTCTAAAAAATCATCTTGCTCAAAACAATAACCAATTTTCTACTTTAGAGTAAAATACTAGGAAGGATGGGGATGAGGGTTCCTTAATTTTTTGAGAAGCCCTTAAAAAGCTTCTTTTTTAACTATCTGAAAGGTTTATATATTTGCATATATACATTTTCTTGGCAAGAGAATGCATAATTTCAGAGTCTCAAAAAAAAGATCCCAGAATGTATGGAAATGACTATCCAGGAAGCTCTCATTCTTATTATAATCAAGAATAAGATAATTATACCAGCTATAACTTCAAATTGATCTGACTTTATATTTGCTGGACATGTGCAGCTACTAACCACATAAGGCCATTTCCAGCTCTTGAAAATGAAGTTAGTCCAAATTAAGATGTGCTGTGATAGCTACATAGCATATTCATAGCATATTCTAAAGATTTAGTATGAAAAAATGATGCCGAATACCTTATTTTTTATATTGAGAACATATTTAAATGAGAATCTTTTTAACATATAGGATTTAATTTTTTTCACTTTTTTCTAAAAAAAGAGGAAAAGAAACCATAAAAGACTCTTAACAATAGAGAACAACTGAGGGTTGATGGAGGGTGATGGGTGAGGGATGGGCTAGATGGGTGTGAGCATTAAGGAGGGTACTTGTGATGAGCACTGGGTGTTGTATGTAAGTGATGAATCACTGAATTCTACTCTTGAAACCAATATTACACTATATGTTAGCTAACTAGAATTTAAATAAAAATTTGAAAAGAGGGGATATCCCTGGGTGGCTCAGCAGTTTAGTGCCTGCCTTTGGCTCAGGGCATGATTCTGGAGTCCCCGGATCGAGTCCCACATTAGGTTTCCTGCATGGAGCCTGCTTCTCCCTCTGCCTGTGTCTCTGCCCCTCTCTCTCTCTCTGTGTGTCTCTCATGAATGAATAAATAAATAAATAAAATCTTAAAAAAAAAAAAAAGACTGTGTTTAGACGTCACTCTGTCTGACATCAAACAATTCTGGTTTCAACACCGGCTAGCTAGCTGCTTCTGCAGAAATGACTTCATGCTTTTACGTGCTGTCTTACCATTTGTAACTATCTCAAGATTTCTTGAGGCTCCCATTCAAGATGGCAACGTAAAAGGTTCCTGAACTTACCTCCTCCCATAAACACATCAAATCTACAGCTCTATACAAAAAAAGTTGTCTCTGAAAGAAATCCAGAGAAAGGCTCAGCAACTACATGTCAGGCAAATGAGGAAAAAAAACAAAACAAAACACCTATATTGAAATGCGTAGGAGAGTAGGAGGGTTTGAGACACAACTTGACCATAAATTTCACCCCCACCACCGGGACACACAATTGGGAGGGAACAGCCAGCATGTCCCTGAGGACACGTGCCAAAAAAACATATAATATGCCAAATTTTAAGACTTCCAATTGAGAGAAAGATCCCCCCAAATACCTAGCTCTGAAAGCCAGAAAGTCCCCCAAATCCCTAGCTCTGAAAGCCAGCAGAGGCTAGAGGAAACCAACAGTTCCTACCAGGCTGGTAAGGACTGGCTGTGGCTATCCTATCAGTGCTCAGAGCACAGGCAGCTCACGGACATGCCCAGTTTTTCTCTGGAAGAAGCCTACTTGAAACTCTTAAAAGTGGTAGCCTGTGAGTCAAGCTCCCAAATTAACACGGATCTAGGGGTTGACTGCAGTGCTCTCCAGAGACAGGGAGGTTGGCAGGTGCCATCTCTGCACTTTCCTACTCCAGGTGGTGGATGTCCACGTGAAGATGGCTTGAGCACATCTCATACCCCACCCTAGATTTTGTGGCTGCTCCCAAAGGACACATCCCTGGATGGCCTGACTATGGCGGCCAGCAGAGACAGCGTTGGTGGGTTCAGTGCAACCAGCTATGTTTGGATAAATCATCCATACAGAAAATCAGTATGAAAACACGACTTCAAACTATATGCTAGGCCAGATGGACTTAACATTTACAAAACATTCTATCTAAAAGCAGTAGAATACACATTCTTCCCAAGTGCATGTGGAACATGCTCCAGGAAAGATCATATGTTAGGCCATATCAAGCATCTTTTCCCACAACAATAGTATGAAACCAAGAAATCCACTACAAGAAGAAAACTGAAAAATTCACAAATCTGTGAAGATTAAACATGCTACCAAACAACCAGTGGGTCAAAGAAGAAATCAAAAGAGAAATCTTAAAATACCTGAGACAAATGAAAATGGAAATACAACATACCAAAACTAAAAGGGAAGTTTATAATGATAAATGCCTACATTAAGAAAAAAAGGTCACAAATTATATCCTAACTTTTCACTTTTAATAAGCTAGTAAAAGAGAACAAATGAAGCCAAAATTAGTAGATGAAGGCAATAACAGAGATCAGAGGAGAAATAAATAAAATAGATACTACCTAGACAATAGAAAAATCAATGAAACTGAAAGCTAGTTTCATTAAAAAAATAAAATGACAATTATTTAGCTAGACTCTCAAGAAAAATGACAGAGGACTCAATAAAATTAGAAATGCAAGAGGGAACATTATTACAAATACTACATGAATACAAAGAATCTTAGGAGACTATTATGACCAACTATGAAATCACTATCTCAGAAAGTTACATGCAAGGGCACCTGGGTGGTCAGCTGGTTGAGCATCTGGCTCTTGATTTCAGGTCAGCTCATGATCTCAGGGTCGCAGGATAGAGTCCCGTGTCGGGTTCTAGGCTGCAGAGCAGAGACTCTCTCTCTCTCTCTTTCTTTTTTTTTTTTTTTTAAATTTTTTTTTTTATTTTTATTTATGATAGTCACACACACACAGAGAGAGAGAGAGAGGCAGAGACACAGGCAGAGGGAGAAGCAGGCTCCATGCACCGGGAGCCCGACGTGGGATTCGATCCCGGGTCTCCAGGATCGTGCCCTGGGCCAAAGGCAGGCGCTAAACCGCTGCGCCACCCAGGGATCCCCTCTCTCTCTCTTTCTTTCTCTCTCTCTACCCCTCCTCTCCCTCTCTCACTCAAAAAAAAAAAAAGTTATGTCCATGCCCATGTTAACTGCACTATTCACAATAGCCAAGACATGCAGACAACCTAAATGTCTATCAATGGAAGAAAGGATAAAGACAATGTGATACACACACACACACACACACACACACACACACACACACCATGGAATATTATTCATACAAAAAAAAAAAGAAATCCTACCATTTAGGACAACATAGATGGACCTTGAGGGCGATATAATTAAATGAAATCAGTCAGACAGAGAAAGACAAATACTATATGATCTCACTTATACATTGAATCTAAAGAAACTAAACTTAAAAACACAGAGAACAGAATGGTGGTTACCAACAGAATGGTGGGAAGTGGGGGAATTGTATAAAGGTGCCCAAAAGGCAAAAACTACCAGTTATAAGATAAATAAGTTCCGAGGGTACAATATACAGCATGGTGACTCTACGTGACACTACTGTATGGTATACTTGAAAGTTGCCAAGAGAGTAGACCTTGAAAGTCCTCATCACAACAAAAAAAAATTGTAACTACAGGAGGTGACAGATGTTAAACTTAGTGAGGTGATCATTTCATGATATGTACAGATATTAAATCGTTGTTATACACTTTCACTTCATACAATGTTAATTTGTCAGTTATATATCAATAAAACTAGGAAGGAAAAAGATTTTTATCAAAATTAAATGCAGATATCTGCTGGAAAGTCTTAACAAAGAAAAATTCCTCAATAATTCCTGGTTATTATAGTTTTCACCAACAAGTGGGGGGGGGGGGTATGAGAGACACAGATAGAAAGAAGGGAAAGGAGAAGATTCCCTGACAAATAAGTAAACTTGAAAAGTAAAGAAAAACGTCTTTGGATGAGAAAAATCACTATTGTAAACGTAAATTCCCCATATCTGTCATTTGTCCATCTTCCATCAAATTGTTCATTTTTTTCTTAATGCTCATAAAGTACTTTGTGTGTGCTGTGGATATTAGCACAGTGACACAGAGTATAAGGATTTTTCCCAGATTGCAGCTTTCCTTTTACGTTTTAGGATGCACTTCAAAGTTTTAAATGAATCTATCAATTTTTCCTTTTTTGATATCTCTGTTTCGTGTTATGTTTACAATGCCTTCCTCAACTTATGACAATACAGACATTTGCCAGTATTTTCTTCTAATACGTTTATGCTTTGTTTCTTTGTATTCGGCTCTTTAATTCACCTGAAATTTATATATAAAATATGAGGAGATGATACAAATTTCTTATACAAATAGTTAACCCAATATTCCTAGGCCTGTTTATCAAAGTTTTTATCCTTTCCTGATTTAAACTGATATTTTTTTATTAGCAAATGCTCCATATAAGCTTGAACTTCCCTTTATTTAAATTTTTCAATACTTCTCGGCTGGCCTCTACATACTGTTTTAAAATTCATGCTTGTTGTTCTTGTTGTTGGTTTAATGCGCATGGATGTATTGTGTGTCGATGTATTGCGTGTGCTCATGTGCACCTGTGCATATGCTCGTGTGGGAGGTCTTGCGTGTGCATTTCAATGAACACCCGTAGCTCTTCTTTATCTGCCAGTATTTCTGATCACTTTCCTCTGTGGCTTCCTTTCTTATGCTATTATGTTCATACCTGCACATGCTTTGTAGTTTATTTCTCAATTTTTAAATAGTTCATCTATCATTACACAGATGAAACATTTCACACGCAGGATCTTATTCTAAGTACTCCACCAAAGTGTACTCTTGTTTCCCTTTGTCAGTCAATCTTGGTCTCCTTTCCATATCAGTTAAGTACAGAGCTACAACATACTAAATAATATCCTGCTGTATGGATTTGTATAATTTATGACCAAAATTACAGACATTTTATGGAACCTGTTTGGCATTGCTCGACATTTAAATGGATTCCAAATTTTTAATAACAGACAACCCTGCTATAAATGCCCTTTTCTGTATTTGTCTTATTATCTTTGCAGGGAAAATTATTGCAGTGTAATTGCTAAGTCAAAGGATACATGCATTTTTTAAGGCTTTTGATTCCCCTTGCCAAAATACTTCCCAGAAAGTCTGTACCACTTATACACCAAGATGCTTGGGGAAATTCCTTAGGAAAGCAACAGAAAAGATGTAATGCATTTTTTTAAGAATAAAATAATAAAGTATTACCTGAGGGCGAACCATTTCACCTGCTGCAATTTTCTTCTCCTCATTTATCAAGTTAGTAATTTTTTTATTAACAAGTGGTGCATTTGCACCATTGATCCTTGCGATAATTTTGCCATTCTATAAAGGAAAGGAAACCATGAAGGAAACTTCCATTTTCAGGATAACTCTGAAATTCAACTTAAGAAAGTCACCCCTACTCTGTCCCACCCTCTCTCAATCCTTTTTTAGCTATTGTAATTAACCATTTTAAAATAAAGTATTAATGGCTGAGTAATACTCCATTGTATACATAAACCACATCTTCTTTATCCATTCATCTTTCGATGGACACCGAGGCTCCTTCCACAGTTTGGCTACTGTGGACATTGCTGCTAGAAACATCGGGGTTACTCAGCCATTAGAAACGACAAATACCCACCATTTGCTTCAACGTGGATGGAACTGGAGGGTATTATGCTGAGTGAAGTAAGTCAATTGGAGAAGGACAAACAGTGTATGTTCTCATTCATTTGGGGAATATGAAAGGGAATATAAGGGAAGGGAGAAGAAATGTGTGGGAAATATAAGAAAGGGAGACAGAACATAAAGACTCCTAACTCTGGGAAACGAACTAGGGGTGGTGGAAGGGGAGGAGGGCAGGGGGTGGGGGTGAATGGGTGACGGGCACTAAGGGGGACACTTGACGGGATGAGCACTGGGTGTTATTCTGTATGTTGGTAAATTGAACACCAATAAAAATTAATTTATTAAAAAAATAATAATAAAGTATTAATGATGTGAAAGTATGCCTTGATTCGAAAAACCCAGCTCTTGGAGTTTTATCTCCACATTGTCTGTCCTACAACCAAAGGCAAGGCATTCCTGCATTACGTTCAGTGATTCTTTACAGGCCTCCCAACACACTACCTTCCCTAATTATTCTTCATACTACGCCTCCTTTCGCTCATCTTTCAACATAGATTTTCAAAAAACCTGTTTATTGGCACAGTACCAGGCATGATGGTACAGAACAACAGTCCCAGTATGTGGTCTAATTAAATTATTAAAAAGGAGGGGGAAAAAAAGCCCACAGGCAAACATATGTAATGTAACAACCATGACAAGTACCACCAAGTACAAAGCACTGGGAGCATCTACAAGAATCTGTCCTGGTCAAAGAGATCAGCAAAGTTGTTTATCAATATCAGCAAGGGATTCTTGGGTTAAAATATGTATAATGGGGGACCCCTGGATGGCTCAGCATTTGAGTGTCTGCCTTCGGCTCAGGGCGTGATCCCAGAGTCCCAGGATCGGGTCCCACATTGGGCTCTCTGCATGGAGCCTGCTTCTCCTCCCTCTTCCCATGTCTCTGCCTCTCTCTGTGTGTCTCTCATGAATAAACGAATGAAATCTTGAAAAAATACTTATGTATGATGGGTAAGAGATAACTAGGCAAAATGGAGAAGAAAGAGCATTCTAGGCAAAAGGAGTAGAGATGCAAAGGTCCTGAAGCCAGAAGGTGATGTGGCAAATAAGAAGACCAGCCAAGAAAGTGAGGGGATGCTTGGTATGAGATGAAGCCTAACAGTGAGGGGAGCCAGACATTGCAGAGCCTTGTGGGTCATGGAACAACACAGCCTTCCTTTAACCTAAGTGCAGTGGGAGGCCTTAGGCATGTTTAAGCAGAGTCAGTGACCACAATTTGAACTGTTATTTGTAAAGACCATTTCACCTACCATATTTAGAAAGAGTTATAAGGGAGCAGAAGATGTTTGTATACATACTAAGGGCTATTCTAGAGGTGATGGTGAGAGAGATGGTTGCTCAGTCAGGCACTGGTGATGGACATGGAAAGAATGGAAAGACACAGATGAGTGTGAGGAGACTTGAATGGTGAAATTGACAGGTCCAAGGAATGGATTGGGTGTGATGTCACTAAGCTGAGTTTTCTGTTTCTGTCAACAAAGTGGATAAATTAAGATGTCAATCACCCAGTGAGGTGACACTTAGAAGATCACATTTCCTTGGGATTGGGAGTCTGCTATTCGAACAGTCCCTTGTGAGATGTCCTTCAGACAACATGGAGGGGAAGTCAAAGCACTGTTTGAATACACAAATATGGAGCTCAAAGTATAGAAAATGGCTGAACTTGAGTTCTTGATATATGAGTGGTAACAACTCAAACTGTATATGGAGGAAATTTTCCAAGGAGGGTATACAGCATGATAAGATAATATTTAATGGCTGGATAAAGAAACGTAAACCTGCAAAGGAGACGGAGGGGAGTAGTATCTACATAGGCAAAAGGAAACCCAAGTAACAAAGCCAAAAGAAGCCCATGTTTCAAAAAAGGAGGGCATGGCTACCACATTCAATACGTTTGAGAGGTACAGCATGATGAGCCTAAAAGTGGCCAGATAGTTAACAATCAGATACACTAGCAACAGCAAATCTGCTTGAATAATCAGACAGAAGGCAGATTGAATGAGTTGAGGAATTAATGGAGTGTGAAAAAAAATTGAGTAAAAATAAATATGCAAACTCTTCTGAGAAATTTAGTGGTAAGATAAAGAAGAGAGATGGGTGATAGCTGGAGAGGGGCGTGGCATCAAATAAAGTATTATTTTTTAATTGGAAAAATTTAATTATCTTCAAAGGGCAATGAGAAGGATCCAGTTGAGAAAGGTTTAAATAAATACTGACACTCTGGTTCCCATTTCCTGCTAAAAGGGACCTTACAACCATTCTGGGGACTTTCAAGGGACTGTCTTTGAAAAAGCTCTTCCTGCTGAAACTTGCTAGAATGAACTTATCAGCTAAGTGTGCTAAGCAATACAAAAAGCCCCTGTGGGAATATCTGTATAAACAAGGGATGACTTGGTGAGGGTTTTGTGGGCACAGACTGAGATTCTTAGAGGAATGAGTATGGCTATAGAGGAATGAGTGATAACAAACTCTGAGGCATGACTGCACCAGCAACTGGCTGAGGTGCACTGGAGAAAAGGTCATTAGCAGCAGATGTCAGGAATTGAGAGGCCAGGATGTAGGTGGATGGCCAATGTGGATACTGAAGTCCCAAGAGGGATGGCAGGACAGGGGTTTGAAACAGGTTTGAGCTGCAGGCTCAAAGTTCTCAGTCAGAGACAAGAACTGATTTGAAGATCAGTAAATGACAGGGGCGAGGTGGGGGGAGAGAAGGAGGTTTTAGCCAATTACCTAAGTTGGCATGGAAAAGACCTCTAATTAGCAAGGGAAAGAAAGTCATTGAAGTAAGAAGTAAAGGGAATATCAACTCTATTCCTGGGCTTAAGTCAGGTAATCTGATAAAACAGTCACACTCTGGGCTGCAAAGAAGTGTGTCCTAAGTAAGGAGACAGATTTAAGGAAAGTCAAGGAAATAGAGTGGAGGTTCAGAGCCATGATGAAAAATCTTAGAAAGTATGCTGATTGCTTATATCGATTCCAGATGTCACACAGTGAAAGTGTTTGCAAGATGTCAGGAAACTGGAGACCTGGGTTAGGAAAAGAATATTCTGAACATGACAGGGAACCTGGGTGGCTCACTTGGTTAAGCATCCAACTCTTTTGACTTTGGCTCAGGTCAAGATCTCAGGATCCTGGGATGGAGCCCAGCATTGGGCTCCACACTTAGTGGGGAGTCCTCTTGTCCCTCTGCCCTTCTCCCAGTTCGTGCTCACTCTCTCTCAAATAAATAAATAAAATCTTATTTAAAAACACAAAGGAATATTGTGAGCATTGAAGGATGAACTATGCAGGGCTGGGAGGAAACTATCAAGAAAAAAAATTAAATATTGCATCCTTCTCCCATACATAAAAAGCTACTAGTGACAAGTAGGTGAATGTGCTTCCTGTCTTCTTTCTACACATTTGTACATACAGAGATAAGAGAACATATTTATTACATAATAGTGGTCAGACAGATGTGTCCTCATAGTAGTACATGTGAATCCTTGGAACCAATTCTCTGCTACTGGATATCTAAGAAATTTCAATATTTCACTCCTGTAAATAACAATTCCTCAAACAAACCTCTGGTTATTTCCTCAGGAAAGGTAAATGCCATCTTATTTGTCTTTCCCACCCCACCCCCCATTAACTCAGCTTGTGGTAGTCTAACCTCCCCAACTCACTACATGCTCCTAGAGGTCAGGTAATAAAATATATTAATAGACAAGCAAAGATTAGGCAACTATAATCAGAAAATAGTTCCATGGTAATTTTACAATGCTACTTGCTATTTAACTGTAAATTGGAATCTGATCATATATTTGAGATGATAAATCTTATACTTACAACACTAAAGAGAAAAACAGGTTCGCATTTATCTCTAAATGGCTGTAAAGTCACAATGTTGTCAGCTTCTGCCTGAAAAAAAAATATAAACATTTCGTATAATAATAAAGGAAACCGTATCCAAGTCATGAGATACACAATGCTAAAAAAACACAGACATACAAAATTTTTCTTATGTTTACTACAGCATTTGCTGAATATGTTATAGTTGTCCTAAGGATCAAATTGCATCATTTGGCCGCAGTCTGACTTCTCATCGCTCACCTTTGTGGTACCCAACCTGCAGCTAACCTCACCTACATCCAGTTTGCACATCACTCCTCCAAGAATCCTATCTTGCTTCCTCCTGCTGCAAATCCTCTCCCACTCCACACGAAACTTTACTGCCCTTCCCTCACAGGCTCCATTGTCCCTTTCAGGATCGTACCACCATCCTATGGGCCTATCTCACTTCTTCTTCTTCTTCTTTTTTTTTTATAAGTAGGTTCCACACCCAGCATGGAGCCCAACACAGGGCTTAAACTCACAACCCTGAAATCAAGACCTGATCTGAGATCAAGAGTTGGACATTTAACCGACTGAGACACCCAGGCACCCACCATCTCACTTCTTTTGATCAGAATTATGATGTTTCATATACCCCTTTGCATGTCACTTTCCTTCGGCATCCATTATGGGGCCATACTTAAAAAGGAGCTTACTTTCTCTTAAATTTTTATTTAAGAGAAAGTAAGCTCTTGGGCAGCCCGGGTGGCTCAGCAGTTTAGCGCCGCCTTCAGCCCAGGGCCTGATCCTGGAGACCCGGGATCGAGTCCCACATCTGGCTCCCTGCATGGACCCTGCTTCTCCACTCTGCCTGTGTCTCTGCCTCTGTGTGTGTGTGTGTGTGTGTGTCATTAATAAATAAGTAAAATCTTTAAAAAGAGAGAGAGAGAAAGAAAGTAAGCTCTTTAAGAAAAAATGGTGGTATTGCCTCTCCCAGAACATACAAACAGAAGAGGCAGCAGACACTATTTCCGTCCCCCACCCATCAGCATAGGTACAGAGACATCTGCTGAGGGCAGCTAACATGGACCCTGGCTCTTCTCTGGGCTTTGCCCCAAACCCTCAGCTCCTGCACCCTGGTGCACCTTTCCTTCAGTGTCAGACCTGTATCAATTCCAGTGTGGCAAGACCCTCACCCAGAGCAATTTCCCATCACAACAGGTCCCTAAGGTTTGGAGTTTTATTTTTTTTAAGATTTTATTTATTTATTCATGACAGACAGAGGGGGAGAGAGAGAGAGAGAGAGAGGGAAAGAGAGAGAGACAGGCAGAGGAAGAAGCAGGCGACGTGGGACTTGATCCCGGGACTCCAGGACCACGCCCTGGGCCAAAGGCAGATGGCTCAACCACTGAGCCACCCAGGGATCCCCAGGTTTGGAGTTTTAAAATTCAGCCAGCCTGGGTGGGATAGAGCCCAAAGTGCACTGTGCTGGTCCAGGCAGGCAAGCAACCGGACGGACCCAGACTGTGTAAGCAATGATCTCAAAAATACCTAGGATGCCTGAGGAGGGGAAGTTATTCGCTCTTCTGGGAAGGCTTCCCTGACAGCAGTGAGCATGAACTCCCCTCCGCAGGGATAAAGGAGCTGGCTGGCTCCCCTATCCTCAGCATAACCTGACATCGGTAAACAGCACAGTGCCAGCACTGGCTGCCTAGATTGCAGTAATCGATGGTAGCCCACTTTAACACCCCACTTACATCAATGGACAGATAATCTAAGCAGAAAATCAACAAGGAAACAATGGCTTTGAATGACACACTGGACCAGATGGACTTCACTGATGTAGTCAGAACATTTCATCCTAAAGCAGCAGAATGCACATTCCTTTCAAGTGCACATGGGACATTCTCCAGAATAGATCACATACTAGGTCACAAATCAGCCCTCAACAAGTACAGAACGATAGAGATCATAGCATGCATATTTTCTGACCACCACGATGAAACTTGAAGTTACAAGAAAAAATTTGGAAAGACCACAAGTACATGGACGTTAAAGTACATGGGTTAACCAGGAAATTCAGGAAGAAATTTAAAAAACACATGGAAGCAAATGAAAACACAATGGTCCAAAACCTTTGGGATGCAGCAAAAGAGGTCATAAGAGGAAATATATAGGACTATAGACTACCTCAAGAAGCAAGAAAAATCTCAAATCACAGTCTAACCTTACACTTGAAGGAGCTAGAAAAAGAACAGCAGGGATCCCTGGGTGGCTCAGCGGTTTAGCACCTGCCTTCAGCCCAGGACATGGTCCGGGAGTCCTGGGATCAAGTCCCACATCAGGCTCCCTGCATGGAGCCTGCTTCTCTCTCTACCTCTCTCTCTCTCTCTCTCTCTCTCTCTCTCTCTCATTCTCTCTCTCATGAATGAATAAATAAAATCTTCAAAAAAAAAAAAAGAACAGCAAATTAAGCCTGAAGTCAGCAGAAGAAGGAAAATAATAAAGATTAGAGCAGAAATAAACAATATAGAAACAAAAAACCAGTAGAACAGATCAACAAAACCAGGAGCTGGTTCTTTGAAAAAATTAATAAAGTTGATAATCCCCTAGCCAAATTCATCAAAAAGAAAAAATAAAGGACTCAAATAAATAAAATCATGAATGAGAGAGGAGAAATCAGAACCAACACTATAGAAATACAAACAGGGGATCCCTGGGTGGCTCAGCGGTTTGGCACCTGCCTTTGGCCCAGGGCGCGATCCTGGAGTCCCGGGATCGAGTCCCGCGTCGGGCTCCTGGTGTGGAGCCTGCTTCTCCATCCTCCTATGTCTCTGCCTCTCTCTTTCTCTCTCTACATCTATCATGAATAAATAAATAAATAAATCTTTAAAAAAAAAAAGAAATACAAACAACCATAAAAGAATATTATGAAAAAGTATATGCCAACAAATTGGGCAATCTAGAAGAAAAGGATAAATTCCTAGAAACATATAAACTAACAAAACTGAAATAGGAAGAAATAGAAAATTTGAACAGATCCATAACTAGCAAAGAAATTGAATCAATAATCAAAAATCTCCTAACAAACAAAAAAGTCCAGATGTCTTCACAGGGGAGTTCTACCAAACATTTAAAGAGTTCATACCAAAAAATAAAAAATAAAAATAAAGAGTTCATACCTATTCTTCTCAAACCATTCCAAAAAACAGAAATGAAAACTTCCAAACTCATTCTCTGAAGCCAGCATTACCCTGATTCCAAAACCAGACAAAGACTCCACTAAAAAAAGATTTTGGGACGTCTGCATGACTCAGTGGTTGAGCATCCAGCTTCGGCTCAGGGAGTGACCCCGGGGGTCCTGGGATGGAGTCCTGCATCTGGCTCCCCACAGGGCGCCTGCTTCTCCCTCTGCCTGTGGCTTTGCCTCTCTCTGTGTGTCTCTCATGAATAAATAAATGAAATCTTTTAAAAGGCAAGGGGGATTAGAGGCCAATATCCCTGATGAACATGTATGCAAATATTCTCAACAAAACACTAGCAAACTGAATCTAACACCACATTAAAAGAATCATTTACCACAATCAAGGGGTTGATTGAACCCTTGAATAAAGGGATTTATTCCTGGGTTGCAGGCCTGGTTCAATATTCACAAATCAATCAATGTGATATATTAATATTAATAAAAGAAAGGATAAGAACCATATGATCCTCTCAACAGATGCAGAAAAAGCATTTGACAAAGTACAGCATCCATTCTTGATAAAAATGCTCAATAAAGTAGGGATAAAGACCTATCAAAATCATAAAAGCCATAAACAAAAAATTAAAATGTCTATATTACACACTACAGTTTTAAAGCAATCTCTATCAAAATACCACCAGCATTTTTCATGGATCTAGAACAATTCTAAAAGTTGTATGGAACCACAATAGAAGACCCCAAATAGCCAAAACAATCTTGAAAAAAGAAAAGCAAAGCTGAAGGCATTAAGACAGTGTGGTACTGGCACAAAACAGACACGTGGGTCAATAGAACAGAATAGAGAACCCAGAAATGGATTCACAACTATATGGGCAACTAATCTTCAACAAAACAGGAAAGAATATCTGATGGAAAAAAGACAAATCTCTTCAACAAATGGTGTTGGGAAAACTGGACAGCAACATGCAGAAGAATGAAACTGGACCACTTTCTTACACCACACACAAAAATAAATTCAGAATGGATGAAAGATTTAAATGTGAGACAGGAAACCATCAAAATCCTAGAGGAAAACACAGGCAGCAACTTCATTGTCATTGGCTGTAGCAACTTCCTATGAGATACATCTCCAGAGGTAAGAGAAATGAAAGCAAAAATGATTATGACTTCATCAAGACAAAAAGTTTCTGCATAGTGAAGGAAATAATCAACAAAACTAAAAGGCAACCTACGGAATGGGAGAAGATATTTGCAAATCACATATCTGATAAAGGGTTAGTATCCAAAATCTACAAAGAATTTATCAAATCTACACCCAAAAAACATATAATCTTGTTAAGAAACGGACAGAAGACGTGAATAGACATTTTTCCAAAGAAGACATACAGATAAGTGACACATGAAAAGATGTTCAACATCACTCATCATCAGGGAAATACACATTAAAACTACAATGAGATATCGCCTCATACTTGTCAGAACAGCTAGGACTAGGAAGCGACAGATGTTGGCGAGGATGTTGAGAAAGGGGAACCCTCCGTACGGAGGTTCCTGAAAAGTTAAAACTAGAACTACCCTACAATCCAGCAATTTCACTACTAGGTATTTACCCAAAAGATACAAAAATACTGATCTGAAGGTATACATACACCCTGATGCCCTGATGTTTACAGCAGTATTATCAACAGTAGATAAATTCTGGAAAGAATCAAATGTCCAGCATCTGATTAATAGATAAAGAAGTTATCTCTGTGGGAAATGGGCAAGATGGGTGACAGGTATTGAGGAGGGCACTCGTGAGGAGCAGGGCATGTTGTATGTACATGATGACTCACTAAACCCTACACCTGAAACTACTATTACACTGTATGTTAGCTAACTAGAACTTAAATAAAAACTTGGGAGGAAAAAACAAATTTCAAGTTGTCCTACATTGATTATAATCAATTATATATTTAACAATAGTTGGTTCCTCTATATTAACATCGCATCCCTTGCGCCGGCTGGTCAGGAGACCATTTGGTAGGGTCTTCTCTCCAAGATGGGTTTTGCAACCTAAGGCGATTGTTTACAAACTGGGATTTCTGGAGGGTCTTCAATTACTGTGAAGAAGCCAAGAGAGGGTCCCTCAGCCCTGTCAGCCAGAGGAGCTGTGTTGTAATCTACACATGAAAACATGCAACGAAAAAAAAAAGAAAACTTGCAATGAGTTGAGGTTTCATGTTTGCTTCGGGGGACTATGCATTTTAGGTGTAAAGAGTAAAGATACGAAATCAGTTATGTGCTTCTGCACCTTAGGTCTAGGGTGGTTTGGACTTGTTTCTGTCCAGTAGAAATAGAATGTGGCCACACATATATTTTTAAATTCTCTAGTAACCACACTTAAAGACGAAAGAAAAACAAGGAAGAATAATGTAAAAATGTATTTTACTTAATCCAAATTATGATCACTTCAACATGTACTCAGTGCAGAAATATTAATATTTCATTTTCCTTTTTCCATACTAAGTCTCCAAAATCTTGTGTGTATTTTCCATGCAGAGTACATCGCAATTTGCATGCTAAATTTGAGTCAGAAATCATTGATTTATAATTCGATTTCATAAAATGTATAGTCAAAAAGAGTCAATGTGCATGCCGACGTTGTCCCGCACAATTTAAAAAGTTCTATAATTTCTGAATTGATTATCAGTTTTTTAATTTAAATTCAAATTAATTTAAAAAAATTTCAAATTAATTGATGGGCACTGAGGGGGGCACTTGACGGGATGAGCACTGGGTGTTATTCTGTATGTTGGCAAATTGAACACCAATAAAAAATAAATTTATTATTAAAAATAAATAAATAAATAAATTCAAATTAATTAAAATTAAACATTCAGTTCCTCAGTCACACAAGCCACATTTTCAAGTGCTCAAAAGCCACTTGTGTCGAGTGGCCATCATATTAGACAACAAAACTCTATGTAGCTGATAACCCGATGTGGGACAAATTGAATAAGTGAGGGTGATAAGTGAGGGGAAAATCACTACTTCTGGAAAATCAGTAACTGGGTTAAGTGCCCAGAGACCTTCCCAACGCAAACCAGAACAGCACCTGCAGCCCTTATTCTAAAAGACACACACTGAACACACAGTCAGATGAAAAGAAACAGGTCAATAGACACACATCGTATGTATCCTTTCTGGTGTTCGCAACCATGGTAAACAACCTCAACACTACAGGAACTGGGATAAAAATCCTCATTCTCAGATCCACTAGAACTAAATTATACAGTAAAACTGCCAAGTAAATATGGTCTTTTTTCTGAAGAGTTGGCAGGCTGTTTAAGACCATCCTTAAAGGGGATCCCTGGGTGGCTCAGCGGTTTGGCCCCTGCCTTCAGCCCAAGTGTGGTCCTGGGGTCCCGGATATTGAGTCCCACGTTGGGCTCCCTGCCTGGAGCCTGCTTCTCCCTCTGCCTGTGTCTTTGCCTCTCTCTCTCTGTCTCTCATGAATGAATAAATTTTTAAAAATCTTAAAAAAAAAAGACCATCCTTAAAGACAATACTTAAACATTTGGAAGTATCAAGAAAATAACTGTTTAATGGAAATGAAATCCTTACTACAACAAAATGCAGAAGTTCATCTTCGTTCAGCTCATTTTTCAACTTCCTGAATAAAGGTTGCATTGCTTTGCAAGGTCCACACCAGGCTTGGTAAACATCGATCACTAGAAGATGATAATGTTTAGGAAAAAACACAGTCAAAAGAATCGAATGAATGAATGAATCAATCAATCAATCAATAAATCGAATCGAATAGCAGCTTATCCCGATACTAGGGCGGGGACACTGATGGAGCGGGTTTTTTCACTGTTAGTGGGGAGATGCACTCTGTGTTGGGGTGCCCCGGGGTGCCCTGGGCCCAACTCGGAACTGCTGCACAACCAGGTGAGCCTCAGTACCTGTTAAGCCTTTGTTCTGCAACATCTCATCCCACAGGCTCTGACTATTCACGACTGCCTGCAAAAAGGCCCGCACTGTACAGGGGTGTTTAAGGACCAACGCCCCCAAGTAAAGACTGTTGATAGGTCATACTCACCTGTAGCTGGATCTCTCGCTTTTTGCCTGCCATTTTGGCTAAATGGACATGAAAAAGGGAAGAAAAGCAGAAAACGTTTGCAAGAAAATGTAAATGATGTTAATCCCTGGGCGTTCAAGCAGTATCTTCAAGTCCTGTAGAAATTTTCCCTGCGGGCTCCATGCAGGGAGCCCGACGTGGGACTCGATTCCAGGACTCTGGGATCACGTCCTGAGTTGAAGGCAGGTACCAAACCGCTGAGCTACCAGGGCATCCCGAATTAATGCATTTTTTTATTTTTATTTATTTATTCACGCGAGACAGAGAGAGAGAGAGAGAGAGAGAGAGGCAGACACAGGCAGAGGGAGAAGCAGGCTCCACGCAGGGAGCCCGACGTGGGACTCGATCCCGGGTCTCCAGGGTCACGCCGTGGGCTGAAGGCGGCCTAAACCGCTGAGCCCCCCGGGCTGCCCCGGGGTTTCTATTTTCTTTGTTCGGGACGTGCTAACCGCCTATGGCCACGCTCCCGGGCGCCCGAGGTCCCATTCTTACAAGACCCTAGTGCGTCCCTGGGCACAGCATGCAGCACGCGCGGCGCGAAATCAGCTGAACCCCAGACCGCCCGCCCCGCGGGGACAGGGGCGCTCGGCGTGGGTGCGCCCGCGCGTGACAGCGGACCCAGCGCAAGACCGAGGAGCGGTTCGCGACCCGGCAGCCACATGCAGCGGGGGTGCCGAGGCTCCAGCAAGCCCGGGCGCAGCAGGTGAGGACCTGCTAAGCTACCCGGGACCAGAAGGCACAGCCCCGAGCATCCAAACAGCCCCCTGGACCAGGCCCGTGGCCTTGGTGCGCTCGCCGCAACCGCGGCGACTACCTGGGCGCCCAGCAGGTGCCTGCCCAGCGGAGGAGGCGGGACCACGACGCGGAGACCCGCCGGCCGCAGGAGGGGGGAGGGGGAGGGGCCAACGTCTGCGGCCGCCCCTCCGGCGCTGCGGGGGCGGGGCCTCGAGGCTCCCCGGCCCCAGTGCGCAGGCGCAGAAGCGCGAGGAGCCCCGGGCCTGGGAACCGACAGTCCCGGCGCCTGCGCAGTCCGGCCGGCGCCCGCGGGCTTGCCCGCCGCTCCCCGGGGCTCCGCGCCGGCACCGCCCGCCCACCTACCGCCGCAGGTGGATGCGCCCCGGGCTGCGGGGGCTCGCGGAAGCCCGGCGCAGCCTGCCCGCGGCCTCTGCCCCGACCCTCCTCCTCCTCCTCCTCCTCCTCTTTGCCTTCTCCTCCTTCTGTTATTTAGAAATAATAATTCTAAGAGCTCGCGCACGCCCTTCCCTGAGCTTCCGCCACGGTCGCCATCGTCCAGGAGGACCACAGTCCAGGGATCCTCGGAGCCGGGACACCAAGGTTACGGAACTACTCTGGAGGCCTCGTCCCAGCTTCCTTTTCCCCTGAACGCCCTTTTTCTGGCCGAGGACCCAACGCAGAGTCCCTGCCCTATTACACTCAGCTGTCAGGTCTCGGTCTCCTCCAGCCTGCGAGTTTCTCCGGACCGTCTTTCCTTGTCTTCCCTAACGTCGGCGTGCAAGGCTTTTTTATTTCAAGATGTAGAATTTCATTCGTAGAATTTGTATCAGGAATATTCTTTTAGGGCAGCCCCGGGTGGCTCCGCGGTTTAGCAGCCGCCTTCGCCCCAGGTCGTGACCCCGGGGTGCCAGGATCCAGTCCCGCGTCGGGCTCCCTGCCTGGAGCCTGCTTCTCCCAATGCCTGCGTCTCTGCCTCTGTCTCTCTCTGTGTCTCTTACGAATAAATAATGTTTTTAAATGCATTAATTTGGGATGCCCGGGTGGCTCAGCGGTTTAGCGCCTGTCTTCAGCTCAGGGCGTGACCCCGGGGTCTCGGGATCGAGTCCCGCGTCAGGCACCTTGCATGGAGCCTGCTTCTCCCTCTGCCTGTCTCTCCCTCTCTCTCTTTCTTTCTGTCTCTCTCTTGGATAAATAAATCTTTAAAAAAAAAAAAAAAGGAATATTTTTTAGGGCAGCCTGGGTGGGCTCAGCGGTTGAGCGTCTACTTTGGGCTCAGGTGGTAATACTGGGGTCCTGGGACTAGGTCCTGCATGGGGATCCCCACGGGAGCCTGCTTCTCCCTCTGCCTGTGCCTTTCCTCTCTCTGTGTGACTCTCATGTATAAATAAATAAAATCTTTAAATATATATACATATATACATATATACATACATATAAAGTAACTTTTTCAAAAAAAAAAAAAAGATTTTATTTGAGAGAGAGACCTGGGGGGTGGGCCAAGGAGAAAGAGGCTCTCCCCTGAGCAGGGAGCCCACCTCCAGCTCCACTCTAGGACCCGGGGATCATTACATCAGCCCAAGGCAGACAGACAGACTCATGTTTGTTTGTTTGTTTTTCTTAAATTTTTATTTATTCGTGAGAGACACAGAGAGACAGAGAGAGGCAGAGACACAGGCAGAGGGAGAAGCAGGCTCCATGCAGGGAGCCCGACGCGGGACTCGATCCCGGGACTCGATCCCGGGACCCCAGGGTCACGCCCGGGACGGAAGCAGACGCTAAACCGCTGAGCCAGCCAGAGATGCAACTCTTAACAGACTGAGCCACCAAGGCTCAGTAACTTTTTCTTAAAGCATATTCTTTTTTTTGGCATATGAATTCTGTCCTTTACACATAACATCTTTTTCAACTTGCTCTATTTTCTCTTAGTCTTAGGATACAATTTGCTGGGTCAGCTGGCTATCCTTGGTGATCTTTTTTCTTTTCCTGTTGTCACTTTTGACTATGAGCTCATGTTTTGGAGGGATCACTTTTCCTGTGAGCCCCTGTGCCAGGGCTGTAGAAGCATACCTGCTTCCCATATGCCTTTGCTTGGCCCCAACAGTATTTAGGGTACCAGATACGTTGAATATTCATTAATTTCTTAGCTTGTATTTCCTATCTTACTTAGCTGAAAATCTAAATCCACATCTAAGGATAGCACAATTCTGGAACCTGAATTTCTTATCAGTTTTTTTTTTTTTTTTTTTTTTTTAAATAGAACTCCTAAGGGTCAGTTTGCCCAGGTGGTTCAGTTGGTTCAGTGCCTGCCTTCTGCCCAGGTCAGGATCCTGGGATCCAGCCCCATATCAGTCTCCCTGCTCAGTGGGGGGGAGGGGGGTCTGCTTCTCTCTCTTCCTTTGCCCTTCCCTACCGCTCACTCTCTCTCTCTCTATCATGTGCACTCTCTCTCTCTCTCTCAAATAAATACATAAAATCTTTTTTAAAAACTAAAATAAAGAATTCCCATGGATGGCCAGCATCCTTGCTCCTGCCACTAAGCCCATGGAGGGGGGAGGTGGATATAATCCCATTTCAGAAATGAGCCAGCCCATCTTTATTTCCAGCAGCATACAGGTAGTTGCAGCTAACTTTGAATATGGACGTTGAAACCTGGACACTGAGGCCCTAGTGTGTGGACACCTATTAAGGCTTGTTCTACATTCTTCTTTTTTTTTAAGATTTTATTTATTTATTCATGAGAGAGAGAGAGAGGCAAAGATATATGCAGAGGGAAAAGCAGGCTCCGTGCAGGGAGCCTGATGTGGGACTGGATCCCAGGACCCCGGGATCACACCCTGAGCAAAGGCAGATACCCAACCACTGAGCCACCCAGACATCACTTGTTCTCCATTCTAACACTCCAAAATGAATCCTCGTTTCAAGTGTGCTCACCTCTATGAATTCAGATTTGCCTTTTGTCTTTTCTTTCCTGTATATTTCTTTCACTTAGTTTTCAACTAAATTAAAAATTGTTGTATTTTTAATTGCATTATTTTATTCAGTATTTCTACATGTTTAGACCTACACTAGACAACTTTCTGCACTAGCTTGCTCAATCGTGTTGGCTGGAAATTAATCTGCTGACTTTTCATCTCATGCCTCCCCTGTGAATTTATGATTTTTAACTTCACTTAAAAATCAAACTTTGCTCAAGTTTTCTTACTTTCTGCAGTAAATAATTATCAGAGGTGATGCTTGTGAGCCATCCTTAGCCACTGCCACTCCAGTGGCCTTACTTATTTTTCCCACTGCCCCCAGAATGAGGTTCTCTCTCTTTTTAAATATTTTATTTATGTATTTATTCATGAGAGACACAGATAGAGAAGAGGGGGGCAGAGACACAGGCAGAGGGAGAAGCAGGCTCCATGCAGGGAGCCCGACATGGGACTGGATCCCAGGTCCCCAGGATCACACCCTGGGCTGAAGGCAGCGCTAAACTACTGAGCCACCCAAGCTGCCCACAGATTTCATTTTAAACGAACTATTTCTTTTTTTCTTTTTTTTTTTTTTTTTGGTTCACATTGGCAGCTTCCTTTTTTTTATATATAAATTTATTTTTTATTGGTGTTCAATTTGTCAACATATAGAATAACACCCAGTGCTCATCCCATCAAGTGCCCACCTCAGTGCCTAAATGGAACTATTTCTGTGCAGAAATAAAGCTGCTCTGTCTGGGATTAGCCTCTGAAAATCTGAGTGGTGTCTCAGGCTCCCACCCCCCGAGGGGGTTTCAGTTCAAGGATATGGACCCTTCTTGAGTTGCTGTTCATCTTGCAATAAGCTTGTTTGGTCTTCCTGTTGAGGAGAATCAGGAAGGCACTTCTAGAATCAAAACGTCCTGAGCCCAGGAGGGCTGGAAGCCTGTGCTCGAGCCAGTGAGGAGGACTCAGTCAACCCCAACCTGGTATTAGTCATAACTACATTATTGTTTTAAGTTTCATGTTGAAAACCAAATGGTGTGTGTGTGTGTTTTTTTTTATCAGATTTCATTTTATTTATTTTTTAAAGATTTTATTTATTCATGGGGGTGGGGGGAGGGAGAGAGGCAGAGACACAGGCAGAGGGAGAAGCAGACTCCATGCAGGGAGCCCGACGTGGGACTCGATCCCGGGTCACAGGATCACACCCTGTTCCCCTGTGGGAATCCCCCCAATGTGGGACTAGATCCCAGGACCCTTGGATCTCAACCCAAACCCAAGGCAGATGCTCAACCACTGAGCCACCCAGGTGTCTCCCCCATAATGAAGTTCCTTCTGTTAACCTTGGAGTGAGACTGGCTCTATTTTTATAGACAGGGTGAGTGGCTGGCTTAATCTGGGAAATTTTTTTGTGTTCACTTTTACTGGGGAAGAATTCTCTAATAACATACAAAACTCTTATTTTTTTTTAATTCAAGCAATCTGGTCCAAGTAGACTATAAAGTAGTCTGTAATTAGGTAGACTATAAAGAAAATAAATAGTTTAAGGACTTACTTTAATTCATCACTTTAGCTAGTGATAGAATCAAACTAGTCTATCTAGGATAAATTTATGCAAATTTTAATTTATTTATCCTGTCTTTTTTTAGATAAAAAATTCCAGATTCTGAATTCCAATTTTAAATGTCATCTAGTAATAGTGAAGCGTACATTCTCTTTTCCCATGACAAAATTAAGAATCTGAGAATAATGAAAACTCAGTATTAAAAACTCAGATTGAAAGAACGTATTATTACTATAACCGACTGGGAACTGCAAGATTGGTAGGTCTGGATTGGGAAACTCATTCTGTGCAGCCTTTAAATCCGAACTAATCTGCTTTCTTAAAATTAATCAGGATGAGTCTTTGAATATCCCTTCTTCCGCCTGGCTCAAAGACTCAGAGAGTCTCAATAAAACCACAATGCTTACTATTCCTCTGCAGTTCAGGCACTGATTTTTAAGGCAATTGCAATTTTATTTTCCACACATCATATTTCTTGCTATAGTCACTTAAAGTTATGTTTCTTAAGTAAGACGAGGAAGGAAAGGCAGGTTGGGAGAGTGGAAGAACTAGCTAGTGGCATCTGAGTCATAATGAGTGGTGGTGTGCTGGTAAATATTA